GAGAGGAGAGAGAGGAGAGAGAGGAGAGAGAGGGGGAGAGAGAGGAGAGAGGAGAAGGGAGAGACGAGCACTCACAGCTCCCAGAGGGACGTCATGTTGCACAGCACCGGGGGGAAGGGGCCTGACAGCAGATTGCTGGATACATAGCTGTTGAAGGGGCGGGGAAAGAGGGGAGGGGAAGGAGGGACGGGGGAAGGGGGAAAAGGGAAGCCACGAGGAGGAAGCGGGAAGATTGACTGGAAAAGGCGGAAGGTTGAGTGGGGAAGTGGAGAGCTTTGAAACCCGGCAAGAACTTGTTGCAATTTGCGCGTGTTGTTGAGCTGGGAGAAATGCCTAAGACTTTTGGCCTGGAAAGGCAGTTGGAGGGAAGGCTATCAAGTGGCTGTGAGGTGGCTGTGAGGTGGCTGTGAGGTGGAAGGTTCAGAGGCTGGTCGGAGAGTTAGAAGGAGGGGAAGGCAGCACACTCACAATTTGCGCATTTTGGTGAGCTGGGAGAATGTATCCGGTATGCCTCCCGTGAGGTAGTTGATGTTCAGGTGGCTGTAAGGGGTGAGGAACAGTACAAAGCGGTGGAAATGAGTAACAGATTCACGTTCGGGAATTTCAGCATGCGGATCCATACCATAGTGCTGGAAGTGTTAGGGATTGGAGACATGGAGGGTTAGGGATTGGAGACGTGGAGGGTTAGGGATTGCAGCTGGGCATCGCCATGCGGCCATTGCACCCTCGTTACACACGCACACACAGCCGCACCCCTCCCCCCACACTCACAGCTGGTACACTCACAGCTGGTACACTCACAGCTGGTACACTCACAGCTGGTACACTCACAGCTGGTACACTCACAGCTGGTACACTTACAGCTTGTACACTCACAGCTGGTACACTCACAGCTGGTACACTCACAGCTGGTACACTTACAGCTTGTACACTCACAGCTGGTACACTCACAGCTGGTACACTCACAGCTGGTACACTCACAGCTGGTACACTCACAGCTGGTACACTTACAGCTTGTACACTCACAGCTGGTACACTCACAGCTGGTACACTTACAGCTTGTACACTCACAGCTGGTACACTCACAGCTGGTACACTTACAGCTTGTACACTCACAGCTGGTACACTCACAGCTGGTACAGGCTCCTCATATTGCCCATGGAGGCTGGGATGGTGCCGTTGAGATAGTTCTTGAACAGCTGCCTGCGGGGGGGAGAATAGGGGGGAGCGGGGGGGGGAGAATAGGGGGGAGCGGGAGGGGGGAATGGGAGTAGGGAGAGGTGTTGCGCGTGTGAGAGGGGAGGCGAGAGGTGAGCATGTTGCCATGCAGGGTGGGAGGGAGGGGGAGCTGCAGGAGCGGGGGGAAGAAACGCGAGAGAGAAAGGCAGTGCGAGTGATGGGAGAGGCTGTAGAGCCTTGCACGGGAGCAAATGGTTTGCAGGTCGTGGGGAGGAGTGGGCAGGCAGGGGGAAGGGAGGGAGCTGGCAGGCAGTGGGTAGGCAGGGGGGAGGGAGCTGGCAGGGCGCAAGGGGGCTGTGAGCTGGCAGGGCGCAAGGGGACTGTGAGGTGGCAGGGCATGCGGAACATGGGGGGCGTTGAGAGGTGTTGAGAGGTGTTGAGAGGTGTTGAGAGGTGTTGAGAGGCACTGACAGGTTCTTGAGGTTGACGAGTTTGCTGAAGGAGTCGGGAATGTCGCCGTGGATCCAATTTGTGGTCGCGATGCTGGTGGGGGAGAGGTAAGGCGAGGGTGGGGAGAGGGATGGTGCAGAAAGGACAGAGAGGAGGCGACAAAGTGTGTGAGTGAGTGGCATTGATGATGCGGCACATAACCATGAGCACGAGATGAGGGAGAAAGAGAAGGGGAGGGCTCTCAAGGCCTGCATTCTTCCAGCGAGGTTAGGCTCCCCAGCATGGCTCGCAGCATGCCCCTGATGCCTTTGGAGCTGACATCCATGCGGCGCACAAGCCCGTTGCTCCAGCACGAGACAAGGGGAGAGAGAGAAGGGAGGGGCTGTGGAGAGAAGGGAAGGGAGGGGGTGTGGAGAGAAGGGAAGGGATGCAGTCATGCTTACAGCTCTTCAAGGCTGGTGAGATTGCCGAGGACTGCTGGCAGCGTGCCCTGGATGCCCTTGGAGCTCACGTCCATGCGCCTCACCAGCCCGTTCGTCCAGCACGACACGAGCCACCAGCGGCTGCACGGGTTGCTGCCGTTCCACGACCGCAGGTCCATGTATTTGCCCCATGCCGCCCGTAGCTCCATCAGAGCTGGGACTGGGGATGTTGGGGAAGGGTGGGGGAAAGGTGGGGGAAGGGTGGGGGAAAGGGTGGGGGAAGGGTGGGGGAAAGGGTGGGGGAAGGGTGGGGGATGGGTGGGGGAAGGGTGGGGGAAAGGGTGGGGGAAGGGTGGGGGAAAGGGTGGGGGAAGGGTGGGGGAAAGGGTGGGGGAAGGGTGGGTGTAACGCCTGTGGGCTAGTGTTAAGGGCAATCCGCTGCGCCAAATAACACCCTCGTTTTAACCCAGTGGGTAGCGAAGTGTTACATTTGGAATCAGAGCCTAGGGTTCGAATCCCGGCTGGACCACACTTTCCGCCTTCAGCGAGAACTGAAGTGTGGTTGTAACCAGCTCGAACCCAGCGAACGATCCTCCGCTGGCCTGAGCAACCAGCGAAGTCGCAGCTAGCAGCACTGCGAAATCTAGGTCCCAGCAGCAGGGGGCCGACTCCCTGAAGTAAAGAGCCAACGGGGACGTTGGCGCCAGGGGGGGACGAGTGTAACGCCTGTGGGCTAGTGTTAAGGGCAATCCGCTGCGCCAAATAACACCCTCGTTTTGACCCAGTGGGTAGCGAGGTGTTACAGTGGGGGAAGGGTGCGGGAAAGGGTGGGGGAAGGGTGGGGGAAGGGTGGGGAAAGGAAAGGGAAGAGAAGAGGTTGCTGCTGTTCCGCGGCCGCAGGTCCATCAGCGCAGGGACTGGGGCATGGCGGAAGGAGCATGAGGCCTCAGTGCGGTGCAGTACGCGGAGGTGGGTAGCAGGAGAGTTGACCTGTCACCGGCAGTGCATGTGCGTGGTCTCAATGGCGTGCAGTAGGATTAAGTACTTTGATTTTGTTGTGGTACGTATCAAAGCGCGGTTTCAGTGGCGCGCAGTGGCGCTCAGTGGGAACGGGTGGTTACGTTGTGAGGGAGCCACGTAGACGGGCCTCGCGAGCGGGGAGACTTTGAAGGCGGAAGCCGCAGAGGCGGAGAGCAGGACGAGCAATGCCGCGAGGAGCAACGCGCGGAGCGGCAAGGAAACGCGGTCACGGCGCGCCGATACTGACCGCGGCCTTGAGAAGGATAGTATGGAAGATTGCTTCATGGTGAGGATCGGTGGAGAACGGTGAAGCAAAATCGGCGAAGAATCCTTTTCGAAAAGAGGACGACGAGACGAGAGACGGAACGGCAAGATGTCTTGAAAGGGGGGGATAATGTAAGATGGCGATTAAGAAGTGCTCTCTCAATGTAAGTAGGCCACCTGGACCTAGCTCCTGCTACAAACGAGGATATAGATGAGCACCCAACCTTGTTTTGACTAAATAGAAATGTCGTGTACCTATGGTGACATTAGAGAAATAATGAATTCAAGGTCGACACGTATCCATTAGTTTGACAGCTCTCGGGAATACTGGGGATCAAGAAGCAAGAACAGCTTCAAACAGCCCAGTTATCACTACTGTAACTCGTGGCGGTCCGCATGTGTGCAGCTTGCTAGCTGGCTGGGCGACAGAGAAATCGATGGCAGCTCTAGGCGATTCGAAATGTGCACTTTTCGTGAATTCGCATACAATACAGTATCGAAGCGCCTATTGTTACAGTAGTTGTGTGGGTGGGTGGTGGTGGTGGTGGTGGTTTTGGTTGGTTGGTGGGTTTGACATCGAATGCGTGTGGTAAAGCCGGTTGTTGGGCTCTGCGAGGGGACAACATCATCTACATGCAAATTATGCCAGTGCGATTTGCGAATGTATGCAACTGACGGCCGTCAGGAAAGGCGCTGCAGAGCTGTTAACTGCCCGCGGTCAGAAAAAAATATACCCCGTCCGGATGAGATACGATTGGGGAGCCTCAACCCTAAACACGAGTAACCCCGTGGTTTTTCCGCCGGGCCGACATGTTTCCTCCGATTTCGTCAATTGCATACAATCGCAAACCCGCACTGGCATAATCTGAATGCCAGTGGAATTGACCGGCTTTGCGAGCCTGGCTCTGTCTGCATCATGCGACGATGTGCGATCGGGACTGATGTGGTTGGCGAAAAATATACAGTCCTGCGATCGCAGTGTGCACCAACCTGGCCGTCAGAAAACAGAAGAATGGAGGCACGTGAGCAGCACAAGACGGTGAGTGCGTGAAAACAGTCTTGTACAATCCACAAAACAATACAAGTCCCACTTGCGGAAAATCTCAACAAAAGACGATACTGCATCACACTAAAACGAGAGTGGAGACTAATCATATCTAGTCTAGCTGAAGGGACAGCCTCTGCTGGCAATGTTATGTTCCTGCCTGCAACACTGCCGTTCCATGGTGTTGGGCTATATCCCCTCATGCCAAGAGCATTACACCATACCACTGAAATGTCCATTGCTTTTGTTCCACAACATGCTGGCCAAATAGGAGTCAATGCAAACCTCCCATTCAACCTACAGAAGCTGAGGTCAAGCTCAAATTGGGAATGGTTATTGCCAAGATGATACATCTCCTAGGCACCGCCCCATCAATGCTTGCACAAATGCGACAGACATCGGTTTCCTAGAGTGGGAAAGGCTTGCAGATGCCATCACCAGCCACCACGGCTAGTTACCCTACCAACTAGCATGTCTCACCAGAAATTCCGAATAACCTAATTCAGCTACTCCAGAGGCACATAATCAATCTAGAGCCCTGCAAATACAACTCGTCAATGAGTTAGCCTACCGAGCTCATCGCCGCTCACTTGATGACCTTGAACGGCCGCATCATGTCATTATCCTCGTGATCCAGCATGTGGCAATGGTACACGTAGCCCGGGCCGACCGACGCGTCAAACGTGAAGGGCATGCCGTTGTTTTCCTTCCACCCGAACCACAGCGTCAGCACCTGACCGGGGTACGACGTCGTGGTGTCCTTCCACCCAGCCTCCGTGGGATCGACCCTCACCCGCGGGCCCGTCCAGCAGCGCGGCAGCTTCTTCCCGCGGAACGCGCACTTGCCCGACTGGAACGCGGCGACGTCGAAGGGGCGGCGGGAGATGGGGCGGTGGTCGACGAGGTGGATGTGGAAGGGGTGCGCGTCAGCCGACAGGTTGATGATGTGCCACAGCTCGTTTGTGTTCTGCGGGGGGGTATGGGAGCGGGAAAGGGAGGGTGTAAACAAGAAACCAAGCTATATGTGAAACTAGAAAGCGCTTCAAAGAGCGCAATGAGTCGTAGAGAATCCGAGGTAGGTGTTGCATTGTGTTGACAGCAAGGGGTATGACTCACCTGCTTGGGGAAGTCCCTGACGGGGTCCATGAAGCCGAGGTTGTCGATGGTGACGCGGACGGGCAGGTTCGTCTTGGGATCCATCTCTTCTACCAATCGGTGCCAGCGAACCTTGGCAATCTTCTTGAAGTCGATCGGCGGCATGTACTGCCAAGCGGGAACGTGGAAGGGAAAAGATCACGGTGAAGACCGGTAACGGTGGAACATTCGAAAACAACCACGGCAAGATATGGAAGCGTTCAGGTTGCGTGTATGTACCGAGATGGAGCTGGGGACTTTCGCGGCGGGGATGCGCTTTTTGTTGGTGATGACGAAGCGCATGACAAGCCCGGTGTCGCGGTCAGCCGTAACACCAGCGGGGAAAGGCGCGGGCGCGGTGTTTTGGAGAATCACGTCCTTGCAGGTGGCGGGGAGGCTAGAGAAGTCAACGAGCACGTCCAGACGAGAACCGGGGATGAGCAGCAACGACTTGGACGTCACCGGCTTCCCCAAGTAGCCTCCGTCGGTAGCGATCTGCGCGTGAAGGAGCATTGTGCGTCACGCAAAGAACTATGTTGGCACGCTCTTGCTGCAGTGTGACCCGCTTAGTCAACATCATAAAAAAACGTAAGACGTGAAAAAAGAAAAAAAAAAAAAGGAAAAAATAAAAAAAAAATGTGAGTCGCCCAATCAATTTCGTCACTTACGGTAACGATGTCGAGAACTTTGCCCTTGAGCGGCGGCACGAAGTTGGGGTAGTCGCCGCGCTGCGCGCAAACGAACTGCAGATTGTAGAAACGCGCGTTCGCCGCACCCAGCATCTTGAACCGGTACACCGCAGGCCGGACCTTGAGGTACGGCCAAACCTGGGTGGGCAGCAGGAAACGCATGAGGCTGCGCCTAAAAACTACATCTGCTGTACTGAGGTGCTACGGCAATATCATTGAGTCGTGTTACGGCGTGCGTTATGCGGCGATGAGTGCATGCGGAGACGTACCACGCCGTTGACCATGTTGGTGTCGCCGAGATACTCGGGGATCCAGTTGGGATGCACGTTCGGCACAATGCCCACGTTCGGGTAGTTCACCGAGCCGTTCGCGAAGAAGAGGCGATCCGCGATGGCGAGCGGCACGGTGCGAGAGGGCGGCGGCAGCCAGGTGAACTTGGACTCGACCTTGGGGTCCGTGATAATGTACAGACCCGCGAGACCGGCGGCGACATTGAGCCGCGTCATGCCCGCCATGTGGTCGTGGTACCAAACGGTCGACGCCTCGTCGTTCACGTACTTGTACGCGCTCGAGTAGAAGGTCGGGCCTTTCTCGCCGTACTGAGTGAACCACGCGAGAGGGTGTCCGTCGTAGTAGCTCTGCTGGGAGCCGCCATGGCGATGCACAACTGTCAGGGCCATTGGGGACGAGTAAGACGATTCAGAACGGACGCGCGCACGGAGTACTGTTGCATGCGCGTGACGCGATGAGGGAGTACTGCCGCGTGCACGTAGGCACGAACGCGAAATGGCCAAGTTCAGAATTGGAAGGTGAGTTCTTTCACCAATTCTGACATACGCTCTTACCGACGGGAATGCCCTTGGCGGGGAGTTTGATGCCCATCATGATGGTGCGATCGACGGTGAACATGTGCGTGTTGTTTTGAGGTGAATCAATGCCAACGGAGGGTCTTTTAGCCGTTAAGAGATTGCGCTTACCGATGGGGATGCCCTTCTTCGGAAGCTTGACGCCCATCATGACGGTGCGATCGACGGTGAACATGTGCGTGTTGTCGAGCAGGTGGTTCTCCCACGTCACCGTCGTGTCGACGCCCACCTTGGCCACGATGGTGGGGCCGGGGTACGACGCCGTCTTCTGACTCGTGCCGTACGCGTACTGCTTCGTCGCCGGCAGATCGCGATGGAATTTCTGCCACGTGAGCAACAGCGTCGTAGGGAAACGACAAGGTTAGCCGCAAAGGCCATTGTGCGTTCGCGCCTTGAAAAAAAACGGACCATTGGAGATACATGACGTTAGTACCACGCTCGGTTGCATGGGAGCAGGAGAAAAATACCTGATAAATCTGGTAGGCACCAATGGTGAGCGGCTTGGTGCCATCGAGAGTGGGGATGACGCGCATGGTCAAGCTGTTCACGAACTTGCACAAGGGCCTCTGCGGAAAAGCGTTCTTGCACTTGGGGCCTGCTGTAGCCGTGGGAGCAACGGCTGCATTGGAAATGTAGGCTAAAGCAAGGAGGACGAGAACAGCGAGCGTACAGCGACTAGCGCGAGCCATGGTGTGCGGCGATGTTAGTGGTACTAGTTGACTTACTAAGGACTTTCTGAGTGAAACTTCACATTACGAGGCCCTTTATGCTGTAAGGGTTGCGCTTGGGTGTTAGTGACGAGGGAAGGTAATTGCTTGGTCGTGCCGCACGCGAGGGGCTTGTGCTGCGGCATGCGAGCCGCGATACTCGAGCCGCCCCGCAAGCAAGTGCAGCCGTGAATGTGCGGATTTGAATTTTGCGTGGTCTGGTGAAGGTGAGGCGCAAGCGAGGTGGCCCGGTTCGGACTCGTTCTTCTATCGAATGCCGTGCAATGAGACACACGCATTATTCCATCATGGTTGGATAAGAGTTGGTTCGGCTGCTCTGGTTGGGCTTGTACGGCTCAGAGTAGCTGTACGCCAATCGCTGATAAGGGTTGTGCTTATGACCGTCAAGAGTGCAACGATTCCCATTTGACTTCGAAAGCTTCACAATAACCAACCAGGCCCATACTCGATACGATTCGCTATGGACCACAGCAATTCTAAACATTCCGTGTAATGAAACCCTACAAACATGAAGTGCTCCATAAAAGTTTGCACTTGCTTAGCATTAGCTTGCTTTAATTCAGGTGATCCTGATTGAGACTTAGAATTCAAAAATATTCGTTTAGTATCATATATTTCTATTATATTAAAAATAATAATAATCATTGATAATTATTTAATATGCCAAATTCTACCAAAACTCAAAAATGCATGGAAGGTAACGAAAAAACACCTCCGTAAACTAAAACCAGTAGTTTACCGCGATAAAAATTACCACCCTTTACTAAAGCAAAAGTGTTTCTGTTCTTGATGAGATAATGACACCTAGCAGAGCTGTAGCCTTATTGTTACTGAAGCAAAGAGACACGAATCTCATGAGAACTCATTGGCGAATCGCTTCTTGGTGAACGCGTTCGTCCGTCCAAGCTGTCAACTCATGCATGCACAGCCCCCAATTGACGGTTGAACGGCAGGTATTCCCGTTCAACCGTGAACTAAGGAACCAATAAGTGATGGTATGCAGCACCACACGGGCAAGCATAAAGTTCCATCCATGCCCTTGCACATGGTCCGTTCATGACAGCATCACCACCCCAGCCAATCAACAGCACACCCCATTCTTTTCTCTCAAATCGCATATCACGCCCCGCATCTGTCAGCCACGCAGGAATATGCACAGATGAACTGGTGTTGTTGCCTGTCTCTGTCCGTCAACTTTTCGTCGCCGCGGCTACGTTGCTCCGGCGAGGAGATACAAACCAAGCCTACAAACAGCCCACCGCACACTGTGTGCCTCCCTCCCTTCCCTCCTGCGAAGTGGCTGCGCTGGTCTGGCCCACAACCGTCAAGCTTGGGCTGATTTGTGAAAAGCTGGCAGTTCCCAAGGCACATGGCTCTGCCAACAAGGCCCTTCACTCTCCAGTTCCCTAGGCTCGTCAGCTTTCCGATTTTCATTTCCAGCCTGTTTCGGTTCTCCCTACTCAACTGCTCTGTGGCTGCTGTTCTGCTGCTCCTGCTTCTGTCTGCGCATTCACCCTCTCGCGGCGAGTCCCGAGAATTGCGAGTGGGCGACGGAACTCGTCCCGTCGCACACTGACTCGTACTGCCGTCGCATAGTATTCGCACACCACGATCCTCGGGGAGAATTCGCATTGCGCTTCAGCAATCTGCATAGTGGCTTGTGCTGCAGACGTGTGACGTGTATTTGCTCAGGGTCTCAGCACTCGCATCGTCTGCTCAGCACTCGCATCGTCTGCTCAGCACTCGCATCGTCTGCTCGTCCCTGGTCAGTTCCCTTTGGTCGGAAGCCTGGGAGTATCGCAAGAGCCTCTGACTCGCTGTGAATCCACACGAAGTGTTGCCGGAGTTCCGACCTCGTATTACTGGGTCACGTATTTGGATTGCCAGCGTGACGAATTTGTGCTGCGAGGGCCCCTCGCAACCGGGTTACCGGGTTACACGTAACCAGGGTTGCATCTTAAGCTTATGGAGGATGACGTGCGATGGCGGAAGTATTTCGCCCACTCAGGAGCCGACATCTGGACGGTCATTGACAGGGCGCTTCGGGTAGCCGCTTCTGATTTTCCCGCGCAATTGCGCCTGCGACGCGACGGCATCGCGGAGAAACTGTTCACCTTCGGTCGCCAGTCGCACGTGCGAGAAGCAACACCCCCGCACGTTTCGCGAGGTGGCGCAGAACGGGCGGCGACGGAGCGGGGAGCGACGGAACAGGCAACAGGAGTCGCAGAGCGAGCCGCGGAGCGACATCACGCGACGACTGCAAGTCACGCACGTGACGAAGGCGCTCCGAGAGAGGAAGCAGCGAACGATGGTCTGAATCCGACGGTCAGAAATGCGTTGGGGAACGATGAAAGGCGGAACGAAGGCGGAGATGGGGGTGATGTGAGGGAAAGGAGACGAGATGGGTATGGTGATGGGGATGGGTATGAGGATGAGAAACGGAGGGAGGTGGAGCGGCGCGAGAGGGAAGACGGCGACCGGCGAGAGCGAGATCGACCGGAAGGGCGCGGCAATGACGAGAAGAGTAGTCGGCCGTCAGGCGATGGACGGCCGTCAGCCGATGAACGGCCGTCAGGGGATGGACGGCCGTCAAGCAACGGGCGACCGTCAGGCGATGTGGCCGAGGGTGTGGATGATGGGAGGGACGTTCCTGGAGATGCGACGAGGGAGGAGGAGGAGGATGAGAAGGAGGAGGAGGAGGAAGAAAGGAGGAAGCGAAGGAGGAGAAGCGAACGAAGCGGCGTGGATGCGTGTTTGTGCTTGGAGAAAGCGACGCTTCGGATGACGAGGATTCAGAGGAGGACGAGGAAGAGGAAGATGAAGAAGCGGATGTAGATGTAGATGTGGATGTTACGAGAGAGAACGACGACGTTGATGGGTTCGATCATCGAAGGGGGAGACACGGTGGTCACGCTGGTGCTGGCTCCGGTGGTAGCGGCAGAGGCGGGGAGAGAGGGAACGGGAGGGAGAGGCTAAAAGGAGGGGAGGGAAGAGGAGTGGATCGAGGAGTGGGGAGGGATGCGGAGGGAGGAACGTGGGATGAGGAGGAGGAGGAGGAAGATGTGACCGCAGCAGTGCTGGAAGAGCAGCTTCAGGAGGAGGATCGGCTAGTGGAGCGGATTGAGGAGATTAAAGACCTCCTTAGACCGTCCAGACTGGTATGTCCCGTCACTGCTTGGTCACCATGCAGGACAGCACGTACTAGGCGGTGAGTGCACAACCTGTTCAAACTCCCTCTCCCTTCCCTCTCCCCCAATCCGTTCCCCCACTTCCCCTTATCTCTTCATCTCCTTTCCTCTTTCACCTTACCCACCTCCCGAACCGCTGCCCTTCCCTACCAGACCCTTCGGTCTTTCCCCACCTCGCTTCACCTTCCCCCTTTCTGCTCCCCGCTCTCTTCTCTCTCTTATGGCTGGGCAGGACAATGACTACCTGGTGCGCCATCGAGAGTCCCTTCGATGCTTGCTCCAAGGGTCACGTTATACCCCTTACCTCACCCTCACTTCGCCCCCCCGCCTCCTCCCCCATCCCTATCACTGGGCAGGACAATGACTATCTGGTGCGACATCTAGAGTCTCTACTGCACATGCCCCCCCTTCCTATTCACCGCTCTTCACCCCTCTTCACCTCCCTTCGCCTCCCTTTCCCCCCTTCTCCACGTGCCTGGGCAGGACAATGACTATCTGGTGCGACATCTAGAGTCTCTACTGCACATGCCCATGACCCTCGAAGCTCTACGGGTGAGGGGGGACGCAGTGAAGGGGTGGATAGGCGGAACTGGTGGGGACATTGGCAGGCAGGGGAAGACGGAAAATGGAGATGGGGGGGAAGAGGAAGGGGGGGAAGGGGAGTGGGAGAGGGTGGGTGGAGGGGGAAAGGGGAGGGGAGTGTTTGTCTTCAGAGGCTTCCATCAATGAGGGGGTGGATAGGTGGAACTGACTGGGTGGGACATTGGCAGCGGGAGTCAGCAGAAGGGTGGTAGGCCTGGGTAGCAAACAACCAGTTTCTTCGTTTCATTTTTTATGTTGCGCTGCCTGGTTGCGTGGGTGAATCAGGTGACGGAAATCGGCAAGAGGGTGAACTCGTTCCGCAACCATCCCTCAGAGAAAGTGCGCGCCATCACCAGGCAGCTCATCGGGTGAGCGCTCATTGGGATGAGTGCATCATGCAGTGAGTGCAGTGCTGCGTTGCGTGCTGGGCTGGGTGCTTTTTGAGTCGACTCGAGACTCGGCGTGCTCTGCAACCACCCATTAGAGAAAGTGCGCGCCATCACCAGGCAGCTCATAGGATGAGTGTGTCATGAGAATGTGGGTAATGCATGTTGGAAGAGTGCACTTGCCGTTACAAATGATCCACATTGTCTCAGACACCTGTGTCCCGGGCTGTATCCCACCGGACTGTATCCCACCGGACTGTATCCCACCGGACTGTATCCCACCGGACTGTATCCCAGACCATAGAGTGCTGCTTTCTCACTGCCTCCCTCCCCCACTCATCCCACCCACCCCTCGCCGCAGTGCATGGAAGGATCTCGTGAAGGAGTGTCGCAAGAGTGCAGCCGCAGTGGCCCGTGAGTTTCCCGCTCCTTCACCCTCTGCCCTGCTCCCTCCCTCTCTCCCTCCCTCTCTGTTCCTCGCTCATTCACTCGCTACTCATTTTCTGGCGCCTCTCTTGCTAATTTTCTCACTTCCTCTCTCTGCCCCTCGTTCCCTCCCTCCAGTCCTCCCTCCCTCCCTCGCCCCTTTCCTACCCTCGCCCCTTTCCTCCCTCCCTCCCTCGCCCCTTTCCTCCCTCCCTCCCTCGCCCCTGTCCTCCCTCTCTCCCTCTGCCGTGCCTACTCTGCCTGACTGCCCCAGCCCTCACATGCTCCCCGCCTGTACTCACCCGCACCCCAAATCTAGCAACTCTTCCAGAGGTCCTTTGTCAATATCACTTTTGAGAATCCTCAAAATTGGGTCCTCCGCTCCACGAACGGTCTCATATCCTTCTTCCCATCCCCTGGCCACTGCTGTCGCCTCCCTCTCGCTGCTCTCCTGAATCCTCCCATCCCCATGCGTCCCCAGGCTCCACAGCAGGCCTACCAGAGGACGTATCATCGGGCCTGCCATCGCCCCCTCTGGATGAGAGTGCGCTGCTGCAGGGGAGGAGCATTGCCATGGGGGCCAGTGAGGTGAGCGTGTCGTGACTTAAGTGTATGAGGTACTGTCCTACATGTGCCTTGCTGCAGGGGAGGAGTATCGCAATGGGGGCTAGCAAGGTGAGCGCGCGTGACTGTAACGAGTGTGAATGGACTGCGGTTGAGACGTTGTGAGAGTGCTCTGTCGCAGGGAAGGAGCATTGCCATGGGGGCCAATGAGGTGAGTCGTGGCTATAACGAGAGTGGCGGTTTATGGTTGGATTTCTGCTATTTCTGTCAGTCTTTCAGCAACAATGGGTGGCAATACTCCTTTGTGCCATGCCTTACCTCATGCCCCATGCCTTACCTCATGCCCCATGCCTTACCTCATGCCCCATGCCTTACCTCATGCCCCATGCCTTACCTCATGCCCCATGCCTTACCTCATGCCCCATGCCTTACCTCATGCCCCATGCCTTACCTCATGCCCCATGCCTTACCTCATGCCCCATGCCTTACCTCATGCCCCATGCCTTACCTCATGCCCCATGCCTTACCTCATGCCCCATGCCTTACCTCATGCCCCATGCCTTACCTCATGCCCCATACCTTACCTCATGCCCCATGCCTTACCTCATGCCCCATGCCTTACCTCATGCCCCATGCCTTACCTCATGCCCCATGCCTTACCTCATGCCCCATGCCTTACCTCATGCCCCATGCCTTACCTCATGCCCCATGCCTTACCTCATGCCCCATGCCTTACCTCATGCCCCATGCCTTACCTCATGCCCCATGCCTTACCTCATGCCCCATGCCTTACCTCATGCCCCATGCCTTACCTCATGCCCCATGCCTTACCTCATGCCCCATGCCTTACCTCATGCCCCATGCCTTACCTCATGCCCCATGCCTTACCTCATGCCCCATGCCTTACCTCATGCCCCATGCCTTACCTCATGCCCCATGCCTTACCTCATGCCCCATGCCTTACCTCATGCCCCATGCCTTACCTCATGCCCCATGCCTTACCTCATGCCCCATGCCTTACCTCATGCCCCATGCCTTACCTCATGCCCCATGCCTTACCTCATGCCCCATGCCTTACCTCATGCCCCATGCCTTACCTCATGCCCCATGCCTTACCTCATGCCCCATGCCTTACCTCATGCCCCATGCCTTACCTCATGCCCCATGCCTTACCTCATGCCCCATGCCTTACCTCATGCCCCATGCCTTACCTCATGCCCCATACCTTACCTCATGCCCCATGCCTTACCTCATGCCCCATGCCTTACCTCATGCCCCATGCCTTACCTCATGCCCCATGCCTTACCTCATGCCCCATGCCTTACCTCATGCCCCATGCCTTACCTCATGCCCCATGCCTTACCTCATGCCCCATGCCTTACCTCATGCCCCATGCCTTACCTCATGCCCCATGCCTTACCTCATGCCCCATGCCTTACCTCATGCCCCATGCCTTACCTCATGCCCCATGCCTTACCTCATGCCCCATGCCTTACCTCATGCCCCATGCCTTACCTCATGCCCCATGCCTTACCTCATGCCCCATGCCTTACCTCATGCCCCATGCCTTACCTCATGCCCCATGCCTTACCTCATGCCCCATGCCTTACCTCATGCCCCATGCCTTACCTCATGCCCCATGCCTTACCTCATGCCCCATGCCTTACCTCATGCCCCATGCCTTACCTCATGCCCCATGCCTTACCTCATGCCCCATGCCTTACCTCATGCCCCATGCCTTACCTCATGCCCCATGCCTTACCTCATGCCCCATGCCTTACCTCATGCCCCATGCCTTACCTCATGCCCCATGCCTTACCTCATGCCCCATGCCTTACCTCATGCCCCATGCCTTACCTCATGCCCCATGCCTTACCTCATGCCCCATGCCTTACCTCATGCCCCATGCCTTACCTCATGCCCCATGCCTTACCTCATGCCCCATGCCTTACCTCATGCCCCATGCCTTACCTCATGCCCCATGCCTTACCTCATGCCCCATGCCTTACCTCATGCCCCATGCCTTACCTCATGCCCCATGCCTTACCTCATGCCCCATGCCTTACCTCATGCCCCATGCCTTACCTCATGCCCCATGCCTTACCCCATTTCCCATGCCTTACCCCATGCCCCATGCCTTACCCCATGCCGTGTGTGCAGTTATTCCGTGACTTTGGTCTCGGCCTTGACAGTGGGTCATGTGAGTTTTCTCCTGCTCGCTCCCTTCCCTCTCCTTGCTCCCTTCCCTCTCCTCGTACTATTGATGTTCTTGTATATCAAACAATTCGTTGGTCATATTTTTTAGTTGACCCAAAAATATTTTTGAGTCGACTCAAAAATAGGCTCCTCGTACTAAGAATGCTCTTCTACACTAAGCATGTCGTTGGTCCTTCGTTTTTCATTCTGTAATGACAAGCTCGGGTCTACGTGCTTTTCCTTTATACCCCTTACAGCCAGATCCGATGGCAGCCCTGATGACCACCGCGCTCCACCACCCCACGACGATGTCGTGTCGTCCCCACCTACTTATAACGGTGCCCCTGCTTACAACAGCAACCCCGCTTATAACAAGAACAAACCGCGCTATACAGGGGACAGGCAGGAGGCGCCTGGGCGGCCCAGCAGCAGCAGTGCTGCCGCTCTAACCAACAAGAACAAGGAGAGGAGGGAGAAGAGAGGGGAGGGGGAGATGGTGGGGAGCGATGGGTTTGGTGGCGGGAACAGGGGGGGGAACAGCCTCAAGGAAAGGGCCAGGGAGAAGCTGAAGGAACGGGAGGGGGAGATGGAGAGGGAGAAGAAACGGAATGTGGTGTCTGGGCTTGCTGCTGCTGGTGTTTCAAGCCTGGACAGGCAGGGTGCTGGGCAGATGGTGGGCCGAGCAAGGGCAGGCGGAGGAGCAGGAAGAGGAGGAGGAGGAGCAGGGGGAGAGAGGTCTCCTTTGCAGAAGCGTTTGCTTCAAGGCGTCAAGGAGAGGGAGAGGGAGAGGGAGAGGGAAAAGGAGCGGTCTGTGTCGCCGTATCGTCCCACTGCCCCTGCGTATGGCAGGAGCCTCACCCCTCCACCCAACATGAGATCTGAGGTACACTGTACAATTGATGGTGAATGCTACGCCAGCATAGCATTCAGTTTGTGCATTGCGAGCATGAAGAGAGTGTTCTTCACTTTTTGGTTGACTTTTGAGTCGACTCAAAAGTCATTGCGAGCATGAAGAGAGTGTTTTGCACTTTCTGGTCAGCTGCATAGAAGGAAAAGCTCTCTGTCAAAGTATCCTGGTTCAAAACTGGGCAGTGGTTTTGGATTCACTCCACTCCACTCCACTCCACTCCACTCCACAGCAGGCATCAAATCTGCCTTGCTGCTTGGAGATGGTTGGTTGTTGAGCCACCTCACACGTGCATGCACTTGCCCTTCCCCCGTTTGCCCCTCACACGTGCATGCACTTGCCCTTCCCCCGTTTGCCCCTCACACGTGCATGCACTTGCCCTTCCCCCCTTTGCCCCTCACACGTACATGCACTTGCCCTTCCCCCCTTTGCCCCTCACACGTACATGCACTTGCCCTTCCCCCCTTTGCCCCTCACACGTACATGCACTTGCCCTTCCCCCCTTTGCCCCTCACACGTACATGCACTTGCCCTTCCCCCCTTTGCCCCTCACACGTGCATGCACTTGCCCTTCCCCCCTTTGCCCCTCACACGTGCATGCACTTGCCCTTCCCCCCTTTGCCCCTCACACGTGCATGCACTTGCCCTTCCCCCCTTTGCCCCTCACACGTGCATGCACTTGCCCTTCCCCCCTTTGCCCCTCACACGTGCATGCACTTGCCCTTCCCCCCTTTGCCCCTCACACGTGCATGCACTTGCCCTTCCCCCCTTTGCCCCTCACACGTGCATGCACTTGCCCTTCCCCCCTTTGCCCCTCACACGTGCATGCACTTGCCCTTCCCCCCTTTGCCCCTCACACGTGCATGCACTTGCCCTTCCCCCCTTTGCCCCTCACACGTGCATGCACTTGCCCTTCCCCCCTTTGCCCCTCACACGTGCATGCACTTGCCCTTCCCCCCTTTGCCCCTCACACGTGCATGCACTTGCCCTTCCCCCCTTTGCCCCTCACACGTGCATGCACTTGCCCTTCCCCCCTTTGCTCCTCACACGTGCATGCACTTGCCCTTCCCCCCTTTGCTCCTCCCTGCCACGCTGTGCCATTCGTCTCCCTCCTACACCAGTTTGCAGCAGGGGGGGGAGGATCAGAGAAGGAGCGTCTGGAGATGGCCAAGAGGAAGCTGCACGAGCGGTACCAAGGGATTCAGGACGGTAAGTCTGCCGTGTAAACTTAAACCACTTATAAAATCTTCCAACCACGTGTTTCTTTTTTTTATTATTATTTTTTGAACCCCAACCTCGCACACCCTAGGCTGCTCGAGCTTCACAAAAGCATCCTAGCCGGTGAGACGCCGAGCCTCTTACCCCAGACCCAGACCTTGCATTGTTGGTGGAGCTATCTTGCAAGAGAACACCTTTTCTGGGAGCTGGTTCATAGCTGAAAAAGAGAATCATTCCCCTTCTTCTGAAGGGATGAGGACCATATGAAGGGATGTTGTAATGGGCACGGCACTCCACACACACCCATCTTTTGAAGCACACCCCTCCCCCTATCTTCCCTCTCCCCATCTACCATGCAGCCAAGAAGCAGCGCACAATCCAGGTGGTGGATCCGGGCGCAGTGAAGGGCGGCAAGGCGAAGCCCAGGTTTGCCTTCTCTCACAACGCGCGAGGGGGGGCAGCAGGTGGTGGTGGGGGGAGGTTTGGGCGAAGATAGCTGCTGCTGGGAGGGAGTCAGTAGCTTCTGGTGGAGGTAGCTTCTGGCAGGGGTAGCTTCTGGTAGCTTGTGGCAGCACTCCCTTTCTCAAGCTGGCTAAGTAATTATGGTATCCATTGGGTGCGGTGCGGTGCAATGTGGCGGTGGGGATATGGAGGGGGGAGTGGAGCTCGATACGTTGGATGAGAATGGGAAGAAATCTGACAAGAGTATTGCGATCTGTAATGGCATTGAATGACCATTGGGGGACCACCTGTGCAGCCAGGTAGGTACCACAGGAGCAGACTTTTGAGACGTCTCAAAAGTAGGTACCACAGGAGCAGCAAGTAAATGAACGCTTTGGATGAGAATTGGAAGAAATCTGATGTAGTGAGCTCGTACCAGTCTTGGAAGTACTGATGTTCAATACGGTATGTTGCAGTAGCACTCGCCCCTCCTGGAACATGTGGCTTCCGCTATGCTGCGCAATGCACTGATTTGGTCGCTCTTTACGGTATTTTCGAACCACCCATGCTGAATCCCATGGCATGTAATGTAAGCTATCTGAATTCCACCAAAGAAACTCTTTTCTATGATGCCAAAGCACGGGACTTATGTGAGAATTAGGCCATCCTAGAACACTGTACTAGGTATTGATCCTTACAAGAGAGACCCATAGCCACCACGACTGGCAAGGGTCTGTCTTTTGTGATCCTTTAGCTGGGGGACTACGTGTGATACGAGTGTTACGTTGGCAGCTGCTTCGGCAACAAAGGGACGGCAGCAGTGTTACGAGGGGAAGAGAGCATCGACGAACGCTTCAGCGTTGAAGGGTTGAAGGTCCTCCATGCCCTCCCCCACACCAACAAACTTCACTGGAATGCCCAAATCGTCCACCACACTCGCCTGCACAGCACAACACAGAACACCAGGTTACATGTTGCAGACAGTGGATCGAACCAGATTGGCATTCCTCCTCAGCGTAGTAAAATATAAGAGCGTGAATGGGGCATAGTGTTGGGGGGGCATGGTGTTGAGGTAGTGAATGGAGCAAGTGCACGTGCAGCACAGGAGGAAGCAGCCAGAGATGAAATATATGAATACAAAACGAAGGGAAAATAGGAAAGTAAGAACGATGGAAAGAAAGTATGTGAGGGCGAAGGCAACTCACCACACAACCTCCCCGTGCCGTGCCGTCCAGCTTGGTAAGGACAAAGCCCGTCACCCCAACAGCCTGGCACAAATAAGGAAGGGGAGGAGGAAGTAACATGCGTAGAAGAGGGGAGGGGGAGGGGAAAACGTGCGATGCGATTGAGCGGCAGGCATTACAAGGAGAAGAGGGAATGGGGGTAAGGGGGGACATCCATTGCGAAGGAAAGAGGGAGCGGAGGCGGATGGAGGAGACTCACCTGGTTGAACTCCCGTGCCTGCGGCAGCATGTTGAGGCCTGTGGTGCCATCCAATACCAGCAGCACCTCCTGTAGGCACACAATGGGATGATGGGGAGAAGAGGAACAGAGCGCAGAGCACGCAATGTACTATAAACAATACCACACAATCAGTAAGCGCATGTGGCAGCATGCTGAAGCCTGTGGTGCCGTCGAGCACCAGCAGCACGTCCTGTAGCATGCGGGGGGGGGGGATCACACGAGCAGTGTGAATGGGGGAAAGAATGGAAACAGTTAACAAATACAAACTGGAAAACCGTACAAGCGGAGAGCCGAGGGGCGGAATGCTGCAGCAAGCATAAGAATGTTAGGATCTCCTACACTCAAGAGTGGTGCAGAGCAGAGCAGGCACACAGGCAGGAAACGACTCACGTTGGGAGCACCCGGCAGGGTCTTGGCCACGGCTCGCTTGCACGCCTTCAGCTCCTCCATCAGGTTGAAGTTGGTGTGCAGCCCTGCAGTGCAGTGCGGTGCGGGGTGGTGCGGGGTGGTGAGGGAGGAATTGGAAAAGGATAGAGAACCTTGAGCTTTCAACTCCTCCATCAGGTTGAAATTGGTGTGCAGCCATGCGGTGTGGGGTGGTGGTGGGCGGTGGTGGTGGATGGAGGAGGGTGGGGAGGGAAGCTTGGCTTCACATGAGCACACTTTCAGCTTCTCCATGAGGTTAAAATTGGTGTGCAGTGTTGCGGTGCAATGCTGTGGGGTTGGGGGTACTGTCAGCAAGGAGGACATCAAAGCCCTCGCTGCTGGCCTCCCATGCCGTGCTTGCCTCCCATCCCTTGCTTCCCTCCCATGCCGTGCTTGCCTCCCATCCCTTGCTTCCCTCCCATGCCGTGCTTGCCTCCCATCCCTTGCTTCCCTCCCATGCCGTGCTTGCCTCCCATCCCTTGCTTCCCTCCCATGCCGTGCTTGCCTCCCATCCCTTGCTTCCCTCCCATGCCGTGCTTGCCTCCCATCCCTTGCTTCCCTCCCATGCCGTGCTTGCCTCCCATCCCTTGCTTGCCTCCCATGCCGTGCTTGCCTCCCATCCCTTGCTTCCCTCCCATGCCGTGCTTGCCTCCCATCCCTTGCTTCCCTCCCATGCCGTGCTTGCCTCCCATCCCTTGCTTCCCTCCCATGCCGTGCTTGCCTCCCATCCCTTGCTTGCCTCCCATGCCGTGCTTGCCTCCCATCCCTTGCTTCCCTCCCATGCCGTGCTTGCCTCCCATCCCTTGCTTCCCTCCCATGCCGTGCTTGCCTCCCATCCCTTGCTTCCCTCCCATGCCGTGCTTGCCTCCCATCCCTTGCTTCCCTCCCATGCCGTGCTTGCCTCCCATCCCTTGCTTCCCTCCCATGCCGTGCTTGCCTCCCATCCCTTGCTTCCCTCCCATGCCGTGCTTGCCTCCCATCCCTTGCTTCCCTCCCATGCCGTGCTTGCCTCCCATCCCTTGCTTCCCTCCCATGCCGTGCTTGCCTCCCATCCCTTGCTTCCCTCCCATGCCGTGCTTGCCGACTGCCGTGCCGTGCCTCAGACACCCAGGACCACCCCCAAATGTATCCGCGCCCATGTGCCCTTCCCTCCCCCTTTTCCCACGACTCACGGCCAGAGGTGTCAGCGAGTAGAATGTCAGAGCCCTCAGCGCTTGCCTCCCATGCATCGACCCCCTGCCGTGACTCAGTCCCCCAACAACCCCCCTCCCGTGCATGCATCAGTTCCCCTTTCACCCGTTCACCCTTTCTGCAACTCACGGCCAGAGGTGTCAGCGAGTAGAATGTCAAAGCCCTCGCTGCTCGCCTTGCGAACCGCATTCGCCAGCACTGCATGGAGGGAGGCGCGGGGGAACACATGAGATGCATGTGTGCGAAGGGCATGTGGATGGATGGATGGGTGGGTGGGCCTATTCACGGCCGTTCTCCTAGCGTGCTTCCACTCACCGTGCATTTGCTCTCAAGTCAAATGTGTCCGTGTGTGTGCACAGGCACTCACCCGTGGCAGGTCTGGTCATCTCCCCCTCGATTGTGACCATCTGTGCGCCTGTCCTCTCCGTGACCTCCAGCTGCAGCAATTTTGACTCCGTGGGTGGCTCTCGGTGACTTCGACAGTCACTCAAATGTGCACACCCGGCGGCACTCACCCCCGGCGGCACTCACCCCTGGCGGCACTCACCCCCGGCGGCTCTCACCCCCGGCGGCACTCACCCCCGGAGGCTCTCACCCCCGGCGGCACTCACCCCCGGCGGCTCTCACCCCCGGCGGCACTCACCCCCGGCGGCACTCACCCCCGGCGGCACTCACCCCCGGCGGCACTCACCCCCGGCGCCACTCACCCCCGGCGGCACTCACCCCCGGCGGGCACTCACCCCCGGCGGCACTCACCCCCGGCGGCACTCACCCCCGGCGGCACTCACCCCCGGCGGCACTCACCCCCGGCGGCACTCACCCCCGGCGGCACTCACCCCCGGCGGCACTCACCCCCGGCCGGCACTCACCCCCGGCGGCACTCACCCCCGGCGGGCACTCACCCCCGGCGGGCACTCACCCCCGGCGGGCACTCACCCCCGGCGGGCACTCACCCCCGGCGGCACTCACCGCCGGCGGCACTCACCCCCGGCGGCTCTCACCCCGGGCGGCTCTCACCCCGGGCGGCACTCACCCCCGGCGGCACTCACCCCCGGCGGCACTCACCCCCGACGGCACTCACCCCCGGCGGGCACTCACCCCCGGCGGCACTCACCCCCGGCGGCACTCACCCTCGGCGGCACTCACCCCCGGCGGGCACTCACCCCCGGCGGGCACTCACCCCCGGCGGGCACACACCCCCGGCGGCACTCACCCCCGGCGGGCTCTCACCCCCGGCGGCTCTCACCCCCGGCGGATCTCACCCCCGGCGGCTCTCACCCCGGGCGGCTCTCACCCCCGGCGGCACTCACCCCCGGCGACACTCACCCCCGGCGGCACTCACCCCCGGCGGCACTCACCCCCGGCGGCACTCACCCCCGGCGGCACTCACCCCCGGCGGCACTCACCCCCGGCGGCACTCACCCCCGACGGCACTCACCCCCGGCGGCACTCACCCCCGGCGGCACTCACCCCCGGCGGCACTCACCCCCGGCGGCACTCACCCCCGGCGGCACTCACCCCCGGCGGCACTCACCCCCGGCCGGCACTCACCCCCGGCGGCACTCACCCCCGGCGGGCACTCACCCCCGGCGGGCACTCACCCCCGGCGGGCACTCACCCCCGGCGGGCACTCACCCCCGGCGGCACTCACCCCCGGCGGCACTCACCCCCGGCGGCTCTCACCCCGGGCGGCTCTCACCCCGGGCGGCACTCACCCCCGGCGGCACTCACCCCCGGCGGCACTCACCCCCGGCGGCACTCACCCCCGGCGGGCACTCACCCCCGGCGGGCACTCACCCCCGGCCGGCACTCACCCCCGGCGGCACTCACCCCCGGCGGCACTCACCCCCGGCGGCACTCACCCCCGGCGGCACTCACCCCCGGCGGGCACTCACCCCCGGCGGCACTCACCCCCGGCGGCACTCACCCCGGCGGCACTCACCCCCGGCGGCACTCACCCCCGGCGGCACTCACCCCCGGCGGGCACTCACCCCCGGCGGCACTCACCCCCTGCGGGCACTCACCCCCGGCGGCACTCACCCCCGGCGGCACTCACCCCCGGCGGGCACTCACCCCCGGCGGCACTCACCGCCGGCGGCACTCACCCCCGGCGGCTCTCACCCCGGGCGGCTCTCACCCCGGGCGGCACTCACCCCCGGCGGCACTCACCCCCGGCGGCACTCACCCCCGACGGCACTCACCCCCGGCGGGCACTCACCCCCGGCGGCACTCACCCCCGGCGGCACTCACCCTCGGGCGGCTCTCACCCCCGGCGGGCACTCACCCCCGGCGGCACTCACCCCCGGCGGGCACACACCCCCGGCGGCACTCACCCCCGGCGGGCTCTCACCCCCGGCGGCTCTCACCCCCGGCGGATCTCACCCCCGGCGGCTCTCACCCCCGGCGGCTCTCACCCCCGGCGGCACTCACCCCCGGCGACACTCACCCCCGGCGGCACTCACCCCCGGCGGCACTCACCCCCGGCGGCACTCACCCCCGGCGGCACTCACCCCCGGCGGCACTCACCCCCGGCGGGCACTCACCCCCGGCGGCACTCACCCCCGGCGGCACTCACCCCCGGCGGCACTCACCCCCGGCGGCACTCACCCCCGGCGGCACTCACCCCCGGCGGCACTCACCCCCGGCGGCACTCACCCCCGGCCGGCACTCACCCCCGGCGGCACTCACCCCCGGCGGGCACTCACCCCCGGCGGGCACTCACCCCCGGCGGGCACTCACCCCCGGCGGCACTCACCCCCGGCGGCACTCACCCCCGGCGGCTCTCACCCCGGGCGGCTCTCACCCCGGGCGGCACTCACCCCCGGCTGCACTCACCCCCGGCGGCACTCACCCCCGACGGCACTCACCCCCGGAGGGCACTCACCCCCGGCGGCACTCACCCCCGGCGGCACTCACCCCCGGCGGCACTCACCCCCGGCGGGCACTCACCCCCGGCGGGCACTCACCCCCGGCCGGCACTCACCCCCGGCGGCACTCACCCCGGCGGCACTCACCCCCGGCGGCACTCACCCCCGGCGGCACTCACCCCCGGCGGGCACTCACCCCCGGCGGCACTCACCCCCGGCGGCACTCACCCCCGGCGGCACTCACCCCCGGCGGCACTCACCCCCGGCGGCACTCACCCCCGGCGGCACTCACCCCCGGCGGGCACTCACCCCCGGCGGCACTCACCCCCTGCGGGCACTCACCCCCGGCGGCACTCACCCCCGGTGGGCACTCACCCCCGGCGGGCACTCACCCCCGGCGGGCACACACCCCCGGCGGCACTCACCCCCGGCGGGCTCTCACCCCCGGCGGCTCTCACCCCCGGCGGATCTCACCCCCGGCGGCTCTCACCCCCGGCGGCTCTCACCCCCGGCGGCACTCACCCCCGGCGACACTCACCCCCGGCGGCACTCACCCCCGGCGGCACTCACCCCCGGCGGCACTCACCCCCGGCGGCACTCACCCCCGGCGGCACTCACCCCCGGCGGCACTCACCCCCGGCGGGCACTCACCCCCGACGGCACTCACCCCCGGCGGCACTCACCCCCGGCGGCACTCACCCCCGGCGGCACTCACCCCCGGCGGCACTCACCCCCGGCGGCACTCACCCCCGGCGGCACTCACCCCCGGCCGGCACTCACCCCCGGCGGCACTCACCCCCGGCGGGCACTCACCCCCGGCGGGCACTCACCCCCGGCGGGCACTCACCCCCGGCGGCACTCACCCCCGGCGGCACTCACCCCCGGCGGCTCTCACCCCGGGCGGCTCTCACCCCGGGCGGCACTCACCCCCGGCGGCACTCACCCCCGGCGGCACTCACCCCCGACGGCACTCACCCCCGGCGGGCACTCACCCCCGGCGGCACTCACCCCCGGCGGCACTCACCCCCGGCGGCACTCACCCCCGGCGGGCACTCACCCCCGGCGGGCACTCACCCCCGGCGGGCACACACCCCCGGCGGCACTCACCCCCGGCGGGCTCTCACCCCCGGCGGCTCTCACCCCCGGCGGATCTCACCCCCGGCGGCTCTCACCCCCGGCGGCTCTCACCCCCGGCGGCACTCACCCCCGGCGACACTCACCCCCGGCGGCACTCACCCCCGGCGGCACTCACCCCCGGCGGCACTCACCCCCGGCGGCACTCACCCCCGGCGGCACTCACCCCCGGCGGCACTCACCCCCGGCGGGCACTCACCCCCGGCGGCACTCACCCCCGGCGGCACTCACCCCCGGCGGCACTCACCCCCGGCGGCACTCACCCCCGGCGGCACTCACCCCCGGCGGCACTCACCCCCGGCGGCACTCACCCCCGGCCGGCACTCACCCCCGGCGGCACTCACCCCCGGCGGGCACTCACCCCCGGCGGGCACTCACCCCCGGCGGGCACTCACCCCCGGCGGCACTCACCCCCGGCGGCACTCACCCCCGGCGGCTCTCACCCCGGGCGGCTCTCACCCCGGGCGGCACTCACCCCCGGGCGGCACTCACCCCCGGCGGCACTCACCCCCGGCGGCACTCACCCCCGGCGGGCACTCACCCCCGGCGGGCACTAACCCCCGGCGGCACTCACCCCCGGCGGCACTCACCCCCGGCGGCACTCACCCCCGGCGGGCACTCACCCCCGGCGGGCACTCACCCCCGGCCGGCACTCACCCCCGGCGGCACTCACCCCCGGCGGCACTCACCCCCGGCGGCACTCACCCCCGGCGGCACTCACCCCCGGCGGGCACTCACCCCCGGCGGCACTCACCCCCGGCGGCACTCACCCCCGGCGGCACTCACCCCCGGCGGCACTCACCCCCGGCGGCACTCACCCCCGGCGGCACTCACCCCGGCGGCACTCACCCCCGGCGGCACTCACCCCCGGCGGGCACTCACCCCCGGCGGCACTCACCCCCTGCGGGCACTCACCCCCGGCGGCACTCACCCCCGGCGGGCACTCACCCCCGGCGGGCACACACCCCCGGCGGGCACTCACCCCCGGCGGCACTCACCCCCGGCGGGCTCTCACCCCCGGCGGCTCTCACCCCCGGCGGATCTCACCCCCGGCGGCTCTCACCCCCGGCGGCACTCACCCCCGGCGACACTCACCCCCGGCGGCACTCACCCCCGGCGGCACTCACCCCCGGCGGCACTCACCCCCGGCGGCACTCACCCCCGGCGGCACTCACCCCCGGCGGCACTCACCCCCGGCGGCACTCACCCCCGGCGGGCACTCACCCCCGGCGGCACTCACCCCCGGCGGCACTCACCCCCGGCGGCACTCACCCCCGGCGGCACTCACCCCCGGCGGCACTCACCCCCGGCGGCACTCACCCCCGGCGGCACTCACCCCCTGCCGGCACTCACCCCCGGCGGCACTCACCCCCGGCGGGCACTCACCCCCGGCGGGCACTCACCCCCGGCGGGCACTCACCCCCGGCGGCACTCACCCCCGGCGGCACTCACCCCCGGCGGCTTTCACCCCGGGCGGCACTCACCCCCGGCGGCACTCACCCCCGGCGGCACTCACCCCCGACGGCACTCACCCCCGGCGGGCACTCACCCCCGGCGGCACTCACCCCCGGCGGCACTCACCCCCGGCGGCACTCACCCCCGGCGGGCACTCACCCCCGGCGGGCACTCACCCCCGGCGGGCACTCACCCCCGGCGGGCACTCACCCCCGGCGGCACTCACCCCCGGCGGCACTCACCCCCGGCGGCACTCACCCCCGGCGGGCACTCACCCCCGGCGGCACTCACCCCCGGCGGGCACTCACCCCCGGCGGGCACTCACCCCCGGCGGCACTCACCCCCGGCGGCACTCACCCCCGGCGGCACTCACCCCCGGCGGCACTCACCCCCGGCGGGCACTCACCCCCGGCGGGCACTCACCCCCGGCGGGCACTCACCCCCGGCGGCACTCACCCCCTGCGGGCACTCACCCCCGGCGGGCACACACCCCCGGCGGCACTCACCCCCGGCGGGCTCTCACCCCCGGCGGCTCTCACCCCCGGCGGATCTCACCCCCGGCGGCTCTCACCCCCGGCGGCTCTCACCCCCGGCGGCACTCACCCCCGGCGACACTCACCCCCGGCGGCACTCACCCCCGGCGGCACTCACCCCCGGCGGCACTCACCCCCGGAGGCACTCACCCCCGGCGGCACTCACCCCCGGCGGCACTCACCCCCGGCGGGCACTCACCCCCGGCGGCACTCACCCCCGGCGGCACTCACCCCCGGCGGCACTCACCCCCGGCGGCACTCACCCCCGGCGGCACTCACCCCCGGCGGCACTCACCCCCGGCCGGCACTCACCCCCGGCGGCACTCACCCCCGGCAGGCACTCACCCCCGGCGGGCACTCACCCCCGGCGGGCACTCACCCCCGGCGGCACTCACCCCCGGCGGCACTCACCCCCGGCGGCTCTCACCCCGGGCGGCTCTCACCCCGGGCGGCACTCACCCCCGGCGGCACTCACCCCCGGCGGCACTCACCCCCGACGGCACTCACCCCCGGCGGGCACTCACCCCCGGCGGCACTCACCCCCGGCGGCACTCACCCCCGGCGGCACTCACCCCCGGCGGGCACTCACCCCCGGCCGGCACTCACCCCCGGCGGCACTCACCCCCTGCGGGCACTCACCCCCGGCGGCAGTCACCCCCGGCGGGCACTCACCCCCGGCGGGCACTCACCCCCGGCGGCACTCACCCCCGGCGGCACTCACCCCCGGCGGGCACTCACCCCCGGCCGCACTCACCCCCGGCCGCACTCACCCCCGGCGGCACTCACCCCCGGCGGCACTCACCCCCGGCGGGCACTCACCCCCGGCGGCACTCACCCCCTGCGGGCACTCACCCCCGGCGGCACTCACCCCCGGCGGCACTCACCCCCGGCGGCACTCACCCCCGGCGGCACTCACCCCCGGCGGCACTCACCCCCGGCGGCACTCACCCCCGGCGGGCACTCACCCCCGGCGGCACTCACCCCCTGCGGGCACTCACCCCCGGCGGCACTCACCCCCGGCGGGCACTCACCCCCGGCGGGCACTCACCCCCGGCGGCACTCACCCCCGGCGGCACTCACCCCCGGCGGCTCTCACCCCGGGCGGCTCTCACCCCGGGCGGCACTCACCCCCGGCGGCACTCACCCCCGGCGGCACTCACCCCCGACGGCACTCACCCCCGGCGGGCACTCACCCCCGGCGGCACTCACCCCCGGCGGCACTCACCCCCGGCGGCACTCACCCCCGGCGGGCACTCACCCCCGGCGGGCACTCACCCCCGGCGGGCACACACCCCCGGCGGCACTCACCCCCGGCGGGCTCTCACCCCCGGCGGCTCTCACCCCCGGCGGATCTCACCCCCGGCGGCTCTCACCCCCGGCGGCTCTCACCCCCGGCGGCACTCACCCCCGGCGACACTCACCCCCGGCGGCACTCACCCCCGGCGGCACTCACCCCCGGCGGCACTCACCCCCGGCGGCACTCACCCCCGGCGGGCACTCACCCCCGGCGGGCACTCACCCCCGGCGGCACTCACCCCCGGCGGCACTCACCCCCGGCGGCACTCACCCCCGGCGGGCACTCACCCCCGGCGGCACTCACCCCCGGCGGGCACTCACCCCCGGCGGGCACTCACCCCCGGCGGCACTCACCCCCGGCGGCACTCACCCCCGGCGGCACTCACCCCCGGCGGCACTCACCCCCGGCGGGCACTCACCCCCGGCGGGCACTCACCCCCGGCGGGCACTCACCCCCGGCGGCACTCACCCCCTGCGGGCACTCACCCCCGGCGGGCACACACCCCCGGCGGCACTCACCCCCGGCGGGCTCTCACCCCCGGCGGCTCTCACCCCCGGCGGATCTCACCCCCGGCGGCTCTCACCCCCGGCGGCTCTCACCCCCGGCGGCACTCACCCCCGGCGACACTCACCCCCGGCGGCACTCACCCCCGGCGGCACTCACCCCCGGCGGCACTCACCCCCGGCGGCACTCACCCCCGGCGGCACTCACCCCCGGCGGCACTCACCCCCGGCGGGCACTCACCCCCGGCGGCACTCACCCCCGGCGGCACTCACCCCCGGCGGCACTCACCCCCGGCGGCACTCACCCCCGGCGGCACTCACCCCCGGCGGCACTCACCCCCGGCCGGCACTCACCCCCGGCGGCACTCACCCCCGGCAGGCACTCACCCCCGGCGGGCACTCACCCCCGGCGGGCACTCACCCCCGGCGGCACTCACCCCCGGCGGCACTCACCCCCGGCGGCTCTCACCCCGGGCGGCTCTCACCCCGGGCGGCACTCACCCCCGGCGGCACTCACCCCCGGCGGCACTCACCCCCGACGGCACTCACCCCCGGCGGGCACTCACCCCCGGCGGCACTCACCCCCGGCGGCACTCACCCCCGGCGGCACTCACCCCCGGCGGGCACTCACCCCCGGCGGGCACTCACCCCCGGCCGGCACTCACCCCCGGCGGCACTCACCCCCGGCGGCACTCACCCCCGGCGGCACTCACCCCCGGCGGCACTCACCCCCGGCGGGCACTCACCCCCGGCGGGCACACACCCCCGGCGGCACTCACCCCCAGCGGCACTCACCCCCGGCGGGCACTCACCCCCGGCGGCACTCACCCCCGGCGGCACTCACCCCCGGCGGCACTCACCCCCGGCGGCACTCACCCCCGGCGGCACTCACCCCCGGCGGCACTCACCCCCGGCGGCACTCACCCCCGGCGGCACTCACCCCCGGCGGGCACTCACCCCCGGCGGGCACTCACCCCCGGCGGCACTCACCCCCTGCGGGCACTCACCCCCGGCGGCACTCACCCCCTGCGGGCACTCACCCCCGGCGGCAGTCACCCCCGGCGGGCACTCACCCCCGGCGGGCACTCACCCCCGGCGGCACTCACCCCCGGCGGCACTCACCCTCGGCGGGCACTCACCCCCGGCCGCACTCACCCCCGGCCGCACTCACCCCCGGCGGCACTCACCCCCGGCGGCACTCACCCCCGGCGGGCACTCACCCCCGGCGGCACTCACCCCCTGCGGGCACTCACCCCCGGCGGCACTCACCCCCGGCGGCACTCACCCCCGGCGGCACTCACCCCCGGCGGCACTCACCCCCGGCGGCACTCACCCCCGGCGGCACTCACCCCCGGCGGGCACTCACCCCCGGCGGCACTCACCCCCTGCGGGCACTCACCCCCGGCGGCACTCACCCCCGGCGGGCACTCACCCCCGGCGGGCACTCACCCCCGGCAGCACTCACCCCCGGCGGCACTCACCCCCGGCGGCTCTCACCCCGGGCGGCTCTCACCCCGGGCGGCACTCACCCCCGGCGGCACTCACCCCCGGCGGCACTCACCCCCGACGGCACTCACCCCCGGCGGGCACTCACCCCCGGCGGCACTCACCCCCGGCGGCACTCACCCCCGGCGGCACTCACCCCCGGCGGGCACTCACCCCCGGCGGGCACTCACCCCCGGCGGGCACACACCCCCGGCGGCACTCACCCCCGGCGGGCTCTCACCCCCGGCGGCTCTCACCCCCGGCGGATCTCACCCCCGGCGGCTCTCACCCCCGGCGGCACTCACCCCCGGCGACACTCACCCCCGGCGGCACTCACCCCCGGCGGGCACTCACCCCCGGCGGGCACTAACCCCCGGCGGCACTCACCCCCGGCGGCACTCACCCCCGGCGGCACTCACCCCCGGCGGGCACTCACCCCCGGCGGGCACTCACCCCCGGCCGGCACTCACCCCCGGCGGCACTCACCCCCGGCGGCACTCACCCCCGGCGGCACTCACCCCCGGCGGCACTCACCCCCGGCGGGCACTCACCCCCGGCGGCACTCACCCCCGGCGGCACTCACCCCCGGCGGCACTCACCCCCGGCGGCACTCACCCCCGGCGGCACTCACCCCCGGCGGCACTCACCCCCGGCGGCACTCACCCCCGGCGGCACTCACCCCCGGCGGGCACTCACCCCCGGCGGCACTCACCCCCTGCGGGCACTCACCCCCGGCGGCACTCACCCCCGGCGGGCACTCACCCCCGGCGGGCACACACCCCCGGCGGGCACTCACCCCCGGCGGCACTCACCCCCGGCGGGCTCTCACCCCCGGCGGCTCTCACCCCCGGCGGATCTCACCCCCGGCGGCTCTCACCCCCGGCGGCACTCACCCCCGGCGACACTCACCCCCGGCGGCACTCACCCCCGGCGGCACTCACCCCCGGCGGCACTCACCCCCGGCGGCACTCACCCCCGGCGGCACTCACCCCCGGCGGCACTCACCCCCGGCGGCACTCACCCCCGGCGGGCACTCACCCCCGGCGGCACTCACCCCCGGCGGCACTCACCCCCGGCGGCACTCACCCCCGGCGGCACTCACCCCCGGCGGCTCTCACCCCCGGCGGCTCTCACCCCCGGCGGCACTCACCCCCGGCGACACTCACCCCCAGCGGCACTCACCCCCGGCGGCACTCACCCCCGGCGGCACTCACCCCCGGCGGCACTCACCCCCGGCGGCACTCACCCCCGGCGGCACTCACCCCCGGCGGGCACTCACCCCCGGCGGCACTCACCCCCGGCGGCACTCACCCCCGGCGGCACTCACCCCCGGCGGCACTCACCCCCGGCGGCACTCACCCCCGGCGGCACTCACCCCCGGCGGCACTCACCCCCGGCCGGCACTCACCCCCGGCGGCACTCACCCCCGGCAGGCACTCACCCCCGGCGGGCACTCACCCCCGGCGGGCACTCACCCCCGGCGGCACTCACCCCCGGCGGCACTCACCCCCGGCAGCTCTCACCCCGGGCGGCTCTCACCCCGGGCGGCACTCACCCCCGGCGGGCACTCACCCCCGGCGGCACTCACCCCCGGCGGGCACTCACCCCCGGCGGGCACTCACCCCCGGCGGCACTCACCCCCTGCGGGCACTCACCCCCGGCGGCAGTCACCCCCGGCGGGCACTCACCCCCGGCGGGCACTCACCCCCGGCGGCACTCACCCCCGGCGGCACTCACCCCCGGCGGGCACTCACCCCCGGCCGCACTCACCCCCGGCCGCACTCACCCCCGGCGGCACTCACCCCCGGCGGCACTCACCCCCGGCGGGCACTCACCCCCGGCGGCACTCACCCCCTGCGGGCACTCACCCCCGGCGGCACTCACCCCCGGCGGCACTCACCCCCGGCGGCACTCACCCCCGGCGGTACTCACCCCCGGCGGCACTCACCCCCGGCGGCACTCACCCCCGGCGGGCACTCACCCCCGGCGGCACTCACCCCCTGCGGGCACTCACCCCCGGCGGCACTCACCCCCGGCGGGCACTCACCCCCGGCGGGCACTCACCCCCGGCGGGCACACACCCCCGGCGGCACTCACCCCCGGCGGGCTCTCACCCCCGGCGGCTCTCACCCCCGGCGGATCTCACCCCCGGCGGCTCTCACCCCCGGCGGCTCTCACCCCCGGCGGCACTCACCCCCGGCGACACTCACCCCCGGCGGCACTCACCCCCGGCGGCACTCACCCCCGGCGGCACTCACCCCCGGCGGCACTCACCCCCGGCGGCACTCACCCCCGGCGGCACTCACCCCCGGCGGCACTCACCCCCGGCGGGCACTCACCCCCGGCGGCACTCACCCCCGGCGGCACTCACCCCCGGCGGCACTCACCCCAGGCGGCTCTCACCCCGGCGGCACTCACCCCCGGCGACACTCACCCCCGGCGGCACTCACCCCCGGCGGCACTCACCCCCGGCGGCACTCACCCCCGGCGGCACTCACCCCCGGCGGCACTAACCCCCGGCGGCACTCACCCCCGGCGGGCACTCACCCCCGGCGGCACTCACCCCCGGCGGCACTCACCCCCGGCGGCACTCACCCCCGGCGGCACTCACCCCCGGCGGCACTCACCCCCGGCGGCACTCACCCCCGGCGGCACTCACCCCCGGCCGGCACTCACCCCCGGCGGCACTCACCCCCGGCAGGCACTCACCCCCGGCGGGCACTCACCCCCGGCGGGCACTCACCCCCGGCGGCACTCACCCCCGGCGGCACTCACCCCCGGCGGCTCTCACCCCCGGCGGCACTCACCCCCGGCGGCTCTCACCCCGGGCGGCTCTCACCCCGGGCGGCACTCACCCCCGGCGGCACTCACCCCCGGCGGCACTCACCCCGACGGCACTCACCCCCGGCGGGCACTCACCCCCGGCGGCACTCACCCCCGGCGGGCACTCACCCCCGGCGGCACTCACCCCCGGCGGGCACTCACCCCCGGCGGCACTCACCCCCGGCCGGCACTCACCCCCGGCGGCACTCACCCCCGGCGGCACTCACCCCCGGCGGCACTCACCCCCGGCGGCACTCACCCCCGGCGGGCACTCACCCCCGGCGGGCACACACCCCCGGCGGCACTCACCCCCGGCGGCACTCACCCCCGGCGGGCACTCACCCCCGGCGGCACTCACCCCCGGCGGCACTCACCCCCGGCGGCACTCACCCCCGGCGGCACTCACCCCCGGCGGCACTCACCCCCGGCGGCACTCACCCCCGGCGGGCACTCACCCCCGGCGGGCACTCACCCCCGGCGGCACTCACCCCCTGCGGGCACTCACCCCCGGCGGCAGTCACCCCCGGCGGGCACTCACCCCCGGCGGGCACTCACCCCCGGCGGCACTCACCCCCGGCGGCACTCACCCCCGGCGGGCACTCACCCCCGGCCGCACTCACCCCCGGCCGCACTCACCCCCGGCCGCACTCACCCCCGGCGGGCACTCACCCCCGGCGGGCACTCACCCCCGGCGGCACTCACCCCCGGCGGCACTCACCCCCGGCGGGCACTCACCCCCGGCCGCACTCACCCCCGGCCGCACTCACCCCCGGCCGCACTCACCCCCGGCGGGCACTCACCCCCGGCGGGCACTCACCCCCGGCGGCACTCACCCCCGGCGGCACTCACCCCCGGCGGGCACTCACCCCCGGCGGGCACTCACCCCCGGCGGCACTCACCCCCGGCGGCACTCACCCCCGGCGGCACTCACCCCCGGCGGCACTCACCCCCGGCGGCACTCACCCCCGGCGGCACTCACCCCCGGCGGGCACTCACCCCCGGCGGGCACTCACCCCCGGCGGCACTCACCCCCGGCGGGACTCACCCCCGGCGGCACTCACCCCCGGCGGCACTCACCCCCGGCGGCACTCACCCCCGGCGGCACTCACCCCCGGCGGCACTCACCCCCAGCGGCACTCACCCCCGGCGGGACTCACCCCCGGCGGCACTCACCCCCGGCGGCTCTCACCCCCGGCGGCTCTCCCCCCCGGCGGCACTCACCCCCGGCGGCTCTCACCCCCGGAGGGCATTCACCCCCGGCGGCACTCACCCCCGGCCGGCACTCAACCCTGGCGGCACTCAACCCCGGCGGCACTCACACCCGGCGGGCACTCACCCCTGGTGGCACTCACCCCCGGCGGCACTCACCCCCGGCGGCACTCACCCCCGGCGGCACTCACCCCCGGCGGCACTCAGCCCCGGCGGCACTCACCCCCGGCGGCACTCACCCCCGGCGGCACTCACCCCCGGCGGCACTCACCCCCTTCGGCACTCACCCCCGGCGGCACTCACCCCCGGCGGCACTCACCCCCGGCGGCACTCACCCCCGGCGGCACTCACCCCCGGCCGGCACTCACCCCCGGCCGCACTCACCCCCGGCCGCACTCACCCCCGGCGGCACTCACCCCCGGCGAACACTCACCCCCGGCGGCACTCACCCCCGGCGGCACTCACCCCCGGCGGCACTCACCCCCGGCGGGCACTCACCCCCGGCGGGCACTCACCCCCGGCCGCACTCACCCCCGGCCGCACTCACCCCCGGCGGGCACTCACCCCCGGCCGCACTCACCCCCGGCGGGCACTCACCCCTGGCGGCACTCACCCCCGGCGGGCACTCACCCCCGGCGGCACTCACCCCCGGCCGGTACTCAACCCCGGCGGCACTCAACCCCGGCGGCACTCACACCCGGCGGGCACTCACCCCCGGCGGCACTCACCCCCGGCGACACTCACCCCCGGCGGCACTCACCCCCAGCGGCACTCAGCACCGGCGGCACTCAGCCCCGGCGGCACTCACCCCCGGCGGCACTCACCCCCGGCGGCACTCACCCCCGGCGGCACTCACCCCCGGCGGCACTCTCCCCCGGCGGCTCTCACCCCCGGTGGGCACTCACCCCCGGCGTGCTCTCACCCCCTGCCGCACTCACCCCCGGCCGCACTCACCCCCGGCCGCACTCACCCCCGGCGGGCACTCACCCCCGGCGGCACTCAACCCCGGCGGCACTCACCCCCGGCGGCACTCACCCCCGGCGGGCACTCACCCCCGGCGGGCACTCACCCCCGGCCGCACTCACCCCCGGCCGCACTCACCCCCGGCGGGCACTCACCCCCGGCCGCACTCACCCCCGGCGGGCACTCACCCCCGGCGGCACTCACCCCCGGCGGGCACTCACCCCCGGCGGCACTCACCCCCGGCCGGCACTCAACCCCGGCGGCACTCAACCCCGGCGGCACTCACACCCGGCGGGCACTCACCCCCGGCGGCACTCACCCCCGGCGACACTCACCCCCGGCGGCACTCACCCCCAGCGGCACTCAGCCCCGGCGGCACTCAGCCCCGGCGGCACTCACCCCCGGCGGCACTCACTCCCGGCGGCACTCACCCCCGGTGGGCACTCACCCCCGGCGTGCTCTCACCCCCGGCCGCACTCACCCCCGGCCGCACTCACCCCCGGCCGCACTCACCCCCGGCGGGCACTCACCCCCGGCGGCACTCAACCCCGGCGGCACTCACCCCCGGCGGGCACTCACCCCCGGTGGGCACTCACCCCCGGCGTGCTCTCACCCCCGGTGGGCACTCACCCCTGGCAGGCACTCACCCGTGACTAGCACTCACCCGTGGCGGGTCTGGTCTTCTCCCCTTCGCCCCTGAGGAACGATGCGCCGGTCCTCTCCGCCCACACCTCCAGCTGCTCACTCGCTGCCGCCCTGAACGTGTCTCCCGCTGCCAGCAGCACCTGATCAAGGAAGTGCGCCAAGGGGGGTGGGGGATGGGGAAGCACGAATGGCTGTTGAAATGCCTCTGCTTGTCAACTTCCGGGTTCAGGGTTTGAATCAAGCACCTGTGCGAGGGAGAGGATTGGCAAATTCTGAGGCAGATGAAATGAGGAAATGGACGAGGAAGCATGGGAATGGGAAAAAGAGAGCAGGGGGTGGAAGAGAAGGGTAGCGTTACCCTGTTACCACCCACCACGCTGCAACTCATAGGCGTCGTATTGCAAAGCACATACCCTTTGCGTTGTTTTAATACCTATGCATGTTACCCTGGCGCCTACACATGTTACTTAGCTCCCCCAACATGCATTACCTTGGCTCCCTCGCCGTTGAATCGGTGAGATAGCTTGCCTGGTGGACAGGAAAGAAAGCGAAGAAAAGGAGAGCATGGGAGAGAGGACACGGAAATTGGAAGGGGAAATGGGGGATGGGGGATGGGAGATTGGGGCTGGGGAGTGGGGGATTGGGATGAGGGATTGGGAATGGGGAATGGGAGATGGGGAATGGGGAATGGGGAATGGGAGATGGGGAATGGGAGATGGGGAATGGGGAATGGGGAATGGGAGATGGGGAATGGGAGATGGGGAATGGGAGATGGTGTAAACAGCACAGTAGAGGCGAGATGCTCCTAAGAAAATTGCATGTTGAGAGGAGAGGGCTGAAACATCACATGTTGAGAGGAGAGGGCTGAAACGTTCAAGAAACCACAGAGAAATGATAGACGCACATGGCAAGAACGGAGGAAAGAGGGAGCGAGGGAGGGAGGGAGAGCGAGAGGGAGGGAGAGCGAGAGGGAGGGAGAGCGAGAGGGGGGGAGAGCGAGAGGGAGGGAGAGCGAGAGGGAGGGAGAGCGAGAGGGAGGGAGAGCGAGAGGGAGGGAGAGCGAGAGGGAGGGAGAGCGAGAGGGAGGGAGAGCGAGAGGGAGGGAGAGCGAGAGCGAGGGAGAGCGAGAGGGAGGGAGAGCGAGAGGGAGGGAGAGCGAGAGCGAGGGAGAGCGAGAGGGAGGGAGAGCGAGAGAGGGAGGGAGAGCGAGAGGGAGGGAGAGCGAGAGGGAGGGCAGGGGGAGTGAAAGGCTGACCAATGGTGGTGGTCTTGCCGCCGCCATTCACGCCCACAATCATCACCACTGCCGGCTTGCTGCACGCATGGGAGGAGGGGGAGGGGGTTGGCGGGAGGGAGGGACGAAAGGGGACAGGGCGGGGCCAAAAGTAGATTCAAACTTGTCTAGAAAAATTCTTGAACGTGAATCCAGGGGTATAGGGAGGGTTCTTAAAACCGCAGCACACATTCAGACATCACGGGGGATGGGGAACAAAAATTTTGGGGGTTGGGGCGAAATCTGGCCGTAATGTGGGCATCAAAGGTTAACCCCTGATGCCCACCCAGGTGAATGTGCACCCCGGTTGCAGGGAACTAAGCTGGTGAACAGCTGCAGTGCAGTCACGGGCGTCTTGTGGTGAACAGCTGCAGTGCAGTCACGGGCGTCTTGTCCGAAAGTAGCACTTCCAATCCCCGGCTCACCCTCCGCCCCATCCCCGCGCGCCCCCTCCCTTCCCCTTCCCCCACTCCCCCCCTTTCTCCTCCCCTCTCCCCCTTCCCCCCTTCCCCCCTTCCCCCTCCCCCTTCCCCCCTCCCCCCTCGCCCCTGTGAGCGCACCTGGTGCCGAGCTCCAGCGTGGTCAGGGGCGCCTTGTCCGTGAGAAGCTTCACAATGGCGCGCTTCAGCGCTTCCTATACACGCGAGTCGCAAACAAGAGGGCCGAGAGGGGGAGGGGGGAGAAAGAGCGGATCGTGTGAAGGCAATGGCGCGCTTCAGCGCTTCCTGGACACGCACGACCAAAAAGCGCGGGGTAACGAGCGGCAGAAGATAGGGGGGGGAGCGGGGAAGTGACGAACAAACAGAAAACCATTCGAGATTCACCTTTTCTCGTACGCATTCGTTTGATTCCCTTCTCTTTCTTTCTCGATTGAACCACCAAGTCCCAACTGCATCAGCGTCGTCTGTTCAACATCGCCGCAGTGGCTCAACTCACTTTGATCTCCTTGCCGGTCTTAAGCTGCCCCGCTTTAATCTCCTCTCGGATTCCGTCCACTATACGAATCGCGGTGCGCGGCCCGAAATCCGCCACTATGAGAGCCTTTAGCAATGAAACGGAAGGAAGAACAATAGTGAGGAGGGAGCGGGGTTATTATTTGTACATTTCACAAATAGGTTTCTGCTTTCCGTTGATGCCATAGAAGGCCAATCCACGACTAGATTTCCTGTTTTCTTCGCATCTCTTCACATCCGTACATTCTTCCTTATCCCGCTTCGGCCCGATCAATGGATTCAAGGGATTCAATGTACATAGAGCCGATACTGCCATTTAAACGCTTACCTCCTCCAGCTCTTCCAGGATATTGTCCGCCTCGTTTAAATTCCAGTACGTTAGAAGCTCATCCACGACCTTCAGACTCTCCCTCGTTTTAGTCACACCCTTGAACACACGGTCAAAGTCGCTCTGCGCCTTCTCTTTAATCACCCGGCCTAGTCGACCCAGAAACCCGAGCTTATCTAGTCCGGCCTGCACCGTAATCGGACCACGAATTCGCCTGGAATCGAGTGCGTCTGGCTGGCGAATTGCGGGGATCAACGGTCGCGAGACCAGCGACTGGCACTGGTTACCTGTGAGGCTTCTGCTGCCGCTTGTAACGGCATTGCTAGGCGCTGATTTCATAGCGTGTGAGGAGCTCTGAAGGAGCGCTAGCGGCGACGCTGCGGCCATGTTGACTACGTTTGATCCTATGCGAGTACAACAATGTTATTAATTTTGACGGAAGAACGTATATTATCGTACGAACCAGCGTGGTCGCAGCGACAGACAGATAAATCCAAAGTTTCAGAGTAGTCCTAGGAAGGCTTGAATGAATACTAGTTTGCTTGCTTCGATGCTTGTCTGTTGTTGATCCAACACGAAAGCGTTGCTGCTTTCACTTGGGCTGAGTTCTGCAGGCGCATCAGCTCTGATGCGTACATAGCTGACTGTTCCATGCGAATTGCAATGGAGTTCCCAAGGCGCAGCTGGATTGCGTCGTCTTTTGCGATTGGTGGGAGGTGGGAACGACGTGGCGGCATCCAGGGTGCCAGCTGGGCCACCACTGGTGCCGCGTGGAAAGGTTCGAGAAGAGACCCCCCAGGGGATAATGTCGCGCCCCGACGCAGAGATTCATTGAGCTCGTATATCAAATTCTATGTGGGACTGGAGCTGGTGTAAATGTGAAACTTATGCTTTTGCTTCTTACGAGGCCTTTTCTAACGAGAATTTCTGTCATTTCCCTGCATATCAACACCTCTCTCAAAATGACCAGAGCAGCCAACTACCAAATTTTCCAGATTCCGGCATTCCCTAGACCCTCGCCCGGTTCGCCGCCATAATAATTTTGCCGGCCCGCTAAATTCCACCATGAATCTTCCCAGCGAGATCGAGGAAGTCCTCTCTCGCTTTCTGGGCTACGAAGGATTCCGGTTCCATCTGCGACGTTACCTGCTTTTCGCCACACTCTTTGCGCTCATCGTCGTAGGCTACGTCTCGTCCGTCGCGCACCACAGCGCGAATCTCACCGCCAGATACGGCTACGACCCCGACGCTCCGCAAATCGTGCCACCCGTAGCGGAGGATGACGCCAAAAGCGACAGCATTTCACAAGACGACATGATGGGGAAAACCGCGGGGGAAGACAGGCGGGAAGAGGAATTTGGTAAAGAGGAGGCCGAAAAAGCAGGATCAGGAGCGGAAGTTTGGGCAGAAAAAGAGGCGGGGACAGCGGGGGAAACGCGGATAGGGTCGGAGGCCCGGGAAGAGGATCGGGACGGAGAAGGGGGGAGAGCGGAGAAGGGGGCAAGCGTTGCAGAAGGGGCAAGGACTGAGTCGGGGGCAATAGACGCAGAAGAAGAAGGCGGACGGAAAGGGGAAGGAACAGAGGAGGGAAAAAGGGAAATCAAAGGGGAAGGGGAAGGAGGAGCGGAGGCAACGGCAGCACTCTCAAAATCATCAGCAGCAGCAGCAGCAGGTGGGGGGCCGAGGAGGGGTGCTGAGAAGGACAGGTGTGCGGTGGAGCAGGGCACGTGGAAAAAGGACAGCACGTACCCGTTATACGCCTCCACGTGTCCTTATATCGAGTCCCGGTTCGCCTGCACTGGAAGGCCGTCCTTCGACTTGGCCCGGTACCGCTGGCACCCTGCTGGGTGCCTGCTGCCGCGGTTTGACGCGGGGAAGCTTCTCAGCAGCTTCCGCAACAAGCATGTTGTTTTTGCAGGCGATGCTGTGGCGAAGCAGGTAGGAATGGGGGAGGGGCTGGGGGAGGGGATGAGGATGGGGATGGCCCACCCACTGCATGTATTCCTCCTCTCTGCTCTGCCTCGTGTAGGTGGGCTTACAATGAGTACTAAAGACCAACCGTGTAGGTGGGCTTACAATGAGGCTCACAAATACCTTCAGGGTGCCTCATGGATCACTGTCGTTCCTTTTCCACTTGCTTTGTCTCCTGCTCCCCTCCGTCCCCACCCACTGCAGATGTTTCTCTCCCTCCTCTGCCTCGTGTGGGCTCACGCCTCTCCTCCCTCCTCCTCCTCCTCCTCCTCCTCCTCCTCCTCCTCCTCCACCCCACCCACTTCACCCTCCTCGGCCCTGTACCGGGTCTCACCGAAAGCAAAGACCGCTGCCAGGCGTGCGACGAGCGCGGAGAAGGAGGCGATGGAGTCAGCAGGCGCACAGACGTGGCGATCAGCCAGCGGAAACGTAACATTTGTGTTCTTCCCTTCAGACTACCTGGTAACCAGCATCGCCAGCAGCACCACCACTAGCAGCACCACTAGCAGCACCACTGCCAGCAGCAGCAGCAGCAGCAGCAGCAGCAGCAGCAGCAGCAGTGGAGAGGGATCAACGGTGCGTGTGTTCCTGGAGCAGCTGGGGCCCTGGCACACCTTTGCACAGCAGCACGCAGACCTCCTTGTGCTGCACGCCGCCGCAGCCTTCTCCCACAATGCTTTCTTACCCCCTCTAGCAACCGCAATGCCCCATGGCAACAGCAGTGCCAGCAGCAGTAGCAGCAATCGCAGCAGCAAGGAGCGGCGTGTTGTCTTTCTCAAGGGCACCTCTCCTGCAGATGATTCCAGTGAAGCCCCCACTTCCTCGGACTCTCTATCTGCCTTCCGCTCTGCTCTTAGGACTTTCAATGCCTGGGTTAAGAGTACCCCTCGATTGGAGAACATTCCAGTGTTCTTTCTTAGCACCCCTGGGCACCATTTTGCCTCCAGCAAGGCCCCTGCAGCCCCTCGTTATAAGAACATATGGAAGGCCAAGTGGTCTGGCAAGGGTACCTGTGACAGTGTGACAGTGCCTCTAGAAAAGCCTCACAGAGACAAGGAGAGGGCGAAGGTCATTGACTCCGAGCTGGCTGATGATGGCAGCAGCAGCAGCAGCAGCAGCAGCAGCAGCAGCAGGAGGGTGCAAATTTTGCCAATCGGGCAGGTTTCAGCTGCGCGGGCAGATGCGCACGTCAGCAAATGGCATGACCAGATTGTTGATGGCTCAAAACAAGACTGTATAAATTTCTGCCTACCTGGCGTCCCAGACAGTTGGAATGAGTTGTTGCTTGAAAGGTTGAACTCATTGCTCTTGTAAGCAATCACGTTTTGGAAGGGTACAAGTGGTACTGTCGGATCGGATCGGATGCTACATATACCCCCATGCGTACCGAAAACAATTAACAACAGATGTTGTGATGTGATCAAGGCCTGGTTCTATGTTTTGCTGTATCCCTGGCAGAGTGAGTGCTCCCTTGCGCTGCTGGCTCCTTTTTGGTGCGTGAAATGGCAGACCAGACCCTGCTCTTTCGTACTAAGGGCCTAAGGCAGGGTCGGTTTCCGTTTCATTCCAAGGGCGGGGGAAGTACTGGAAGATAGTAAGTAACTGCATACGCCTGTGGGACGTACACATGAGTGGGGTTCGTGCAAGTTGGGGCATCAATGGCCGTGCTGCTGCATTAGGGTCCGACCAATTGCTGTGATTGCTGCTGTCATGGGATTGTGCGAATTCTCAAAGGCTAAACGTACCGGTACAGTAGACTGGAACGATCCTCCCTGGTAGGAGTAAATGCACTACAAAAGTTGGCAGTGGTTATGTTAGTGTACAAGCATCGCGGATAATACAGTTGTCTCGAACGAGGTTAACTGGATGCTACTGGGTTTCTCGTGTGCTGAAGAACTAGTAAGGAATCAGTTAGGGCAAAGTGCACCAGGGATTTTGTATGTTGATGTAATTACGGTACGCTCAAAATCTGACCAGTCTTAGTAGTTATAGCTTCGTTTTTTAGCTATGGCTAAATAAATTATCATACTATCATTCGAACAGGCGGGGTGACCAAAGCGCAAATCTGCGACTGCACACGAAGTTCGCTGATATGTTACCCCATTACCAACGCGTGCCAGAAATGCGCTGAAGATTTTGTCGCCAGCTATTCGTCGTTTCTTCCGCGACTCGCTTTCGCTCAAGTTGTCAGCTTTCGTCGTTTACCCATATAAACATCCTCCGTTTCAAGGTGGTGGATACAAGAAACACGGAGCTGATGGAGGCATGCGCGACTCGAACGTCATCCCCCGATACGACTAGACTATACATTGCTGATCCTTGACTTACATAGCATACGTGTGACGCGGCTCCAGAAAAGCGCTGCGGCAAAAACCGTGCCCAGCCCATACGGCTACGGACGCACCCCACACGATCGGGTGCCCAGCTCCAGTCACTCCACCAGTCAAGTCTACCCTTGCTCCAACTAATCGCCTTGGGGTTACGGAAGTGCACCCAACCGAGATTGTCCAATCACCCGCATTCGTACAATCCTACTAAGTGAAGTGAAGTGATACTACCAAAGAAACTTCGGGACCAACACATCATTTCAGTCCCGCCTTGACGCGCTTCGGGGAAATCCCCGCTGCACAGCCCTAAAAACTGTGCGCCTGTTTTGATGTCCCCGAATATAAAAGCGCTTGTTCTGGTAGGCTTCACGTAACGTAGGCCACCGTTATTCCATACTACTGCCATCGAGTCACGCACGCCATGGCGCTCGCTAGACGCTGTACGCTTCCTCTTCTACTCGTCCTTGCTTTAGCCTACATTGCCAATGCAGCCGTTGCTCCCACGGCCACAGCAGGCCCCAAGTGCAAGAACGCTTTTCCGCAGAGGCCCTTGTGCAAGTTCGTGGACAGCTTGACCACGCGCGTCATCCCCACTCTCGATGGAACCAAGCCGCTCACCATTGGCGCCTACCAGATCTACCAGGTACTACCTCTCACCACTGTCTCGCATGCGCACGTTATCCCTCGACGTTTGGCTCTTTTTATGGCATGAACACACAATGCACCCCTGCGGCTGACTGTAATGTCTGCATTCGACACTGCGTGTGGCAGAAATTCCATCGCGATCTGCCGGCGACGAAGCAGTACGCGTACGGCACGAGTCAGAAGACGGCGTCGTACCCCGGCCCCACCATCGTGGCCAAGGTGGGCATCGACACGACGGTGACGTGGGAGAACCACCTGCTCGACAACACGCACATGTTCACCGTCGATCGCACCATCATGATGGGCATCAAACTCCCCAAGAAGGGCATTCCCATTGGTAAGAGCGCTTGCCATCAGAATTGCATGTTTCCTACTCACACATCATGTCCTCCCGGGCGCGCACGCGCATGCGAATTGACTCCCATTTCCTCGCGCACTCCCCTTTCTCTTTGTCAATGACCGCGCAGTTGCTCATCGGCACGGCGGCAGCCAGCAGAGCTTCTACGACGGCCACCCGCTGGCATGGCTGACGCAGTACGGCGAGAAGGGCCCAACCTACGCGACGAACGTGTACAAGTATGTTAACGACGAGGCGTCGACCGTGTGGTACCACGACCACATGGCGGGCATGACGCGCCTCAATGTCGCGGCGGGCCTGGCGGGCTTTTACATTATCACGGACCCCAAGGTCGAGTCCAAGTTCACCTGGCTGCCGCCGCCCTCCCGCACCGTCCCGCTCGCCATCGCGGATCGCCTCTTCTTCGCCAACGGCTCGGTGAACTACCCGAACGTGGGCATAGTGCCGAACGTGCATCCCAACTGGATTCCCGAGTACATCGGCGACACCAACATGGTCAACGGGGTGGTTTGGCCGTACCTCAAGGTCCGCCCTGCTGTGTACCGGTTCAAGATGCTGGGCGCGGCGAACGCGCGTTTCTACAATCTGCAGTTTGTCTGCGCGCAGCGCGGCGATTACCCCAACTTCGTGCCGCCGCTCAAGGGCCAGGTTCTCGACATCGTCAGCGTAAGTGATGATACCGACCACGCAGTCCACATTGCGCCCGCATTTTCTAAGCAATCACGAGCCTTTTTCGTGACGCACGTTGTAACAAGTTCTTTTAACGCGCAGATTGCCACCGACGGCGGTTACTTGGCGAAGCCGGTGAAATCGAAGTCGCTGCTGCTCATTCCAGGCTCTCGCCAGGACGTGCTGGTTGATTTCTCCAGCCTGCCCTCCACCTGCAAGGACGTCATTCTTCAGAACGTTGCCCCCGCGCCGTTCCCCGCTGGTGTGACGGCTGACCGCGACACCGGGCTTGTCATGCGCTTCGTCATCACCAACAAAAAGCGCATTCCCGCCGCCAAAGTCCCCAGCTCCATCTCGGTACGCGCCTTAACCCACTCAAACCGGATCTTAACCGCTGTTTTGCTTTCATATAATGAATACGACCGTTATGAGTCCTTGACCTTCGATAGTTTTCTGTTCCATGTCCCTGCATGGCAGTACCTTCCGCCGATCAACTACAAGAACATCCAGAAGGTTCGCTGGCACCGGCTGATAGAGCAGATGGATCCGAAGACGAACCTGCCAATCCGCATCACCATCGACAACCTCGGCTTCATGGACCCCGTCAGGGACTTCCCCAAGCAGGTCAGTGCGACGCTGCTCTTCTCAACCCCCGAGTGTAGAATCAGCTATCAGCACAACGCCCAACACCAGCCTCGGTTTCCAACGAATCCGTTCGCGCTTTCAGTGACTCCTCCACGCGCTTGCTTGCTTGTTTTCAACGCCTTATTTCCCCCTGCATGGACCCTTTTCCTTTACTTCCCCCCCCAGGGCACGAACGAGCTGTGGCACATCATCAACCTGTCGGCCGACGCGCACCCCTTCCACATCCACCTCGTCGACCACCGCCCGGTGTCGCGCCGCCCCTTCGACGTCGCCGCGTTCCAGTCCGGCAAGTGCGCGTTCCGCGGCAAGAAGCTGCCGCGCTGCTGGACGGGCCCACGAGTGAAGGTCGACCCCACCGAGGACGGATGGAAGGACACCACGCCCGCGTACCCTGGCCAGGTGCTCACGCTGTGGCTCGGGTGGAAGGACAACAACGGCAAGCCTCTGAAGTTTGACGCGTCCGTTGGCCCGGGCTACGTGTACCATTGCCACATGCTGGACCACGAGGACAACGACATGATGAGGCCGTTCAAGGTCATCAAGTGAGTGGCGATGGGCTCGTTGCGTAGATTGACTCACTGACGAGTTGCATTTGCAGGGCTTTAGATCAGCTATGTTTGATGAAATGTGAATTGCAATAGGTGATATAGGTCTGTGATTAGGTGGGACATGTTAGGCTGAGACTAGGTGGTTAGGTGAGAAATGCTAGGCAGAGATTATGAGGGTGTAGGGAAATGGGATTAACTGCCATCCTGCTTTGGATGTCTATTTTCTTGGGTAATAACCAGGACATTTGAATGATGAACCCGCTCAGCACTGACGGCCCCTTGAACCCCAGCGTTTTGAAAACCCGTTTTGATATTGTGTATTTGTGCTTTCGGTAAGCAGAGTGTACACCCTTCGAGATCAACACTAACGCATGATACACATACCGAACCCAGGAACGTAGGCAAGGCAAAATGGCGGGAAGAGCGAGTCCTGTCAGCTTTGTTGCGAAGTTGAGTTGAACAACCGCACTCAAGCATCTCCACCCCACCCCACCTCAGCTCCAACTGTTTTTGCCTTGGGAATTCCGACCGACCAGATTTGGTCTTGGGGACATTCTTAGTTATCTAATTTCCAGTTTCCAAATTGGTGAGGACCTAAGGCGACGATCCAGCCATTTGAGTCTGCTCATGTACTTCAATTTCCTGGTGTAGATCTACGTGGATTCGTTGGCTGCTCCACCAGTCTGCTTTCGCTTTTGCATTAGCTAGCGCAATACAAGATGGCAGATTTCGTAGACGAGCCTCGCGTGGTGCAATCCGAGAACCACGGATGGCAGAAGGTGACCAATGTTAAGAAGCAGCGTCGCCAGGAACAGAAAGATTCAAAAAAGACTTCAGCTGCGGGGAAATCTGCAGGTGGAAAAGGATCGATCGGCCAGTCCGTGTTCTCTTCACTGGAGGATGAATCGAAGCAGAGGAGAGCGAGGATCGAAGCTCGTGCCGCAGCTGCTGCAGCAGCCGAGCGGGAAGCGGAGCGCGCGGAGTACGACGCTGACGATGATGATGACGATGATGACGAGGAGCGTGAAGCCAAGGCTCCAGCAGCAGCAGAGCCTAAGAAACCTAAGAAACCTAAGAAGCCCAAGGTTACTGTTTTGGAGGCTGCGACAGCGATTAAAGTGGACGAATTGTCCGCGTTTCTTGTCGAGATCTCGGTGCGTGCCGACATTCCTCACCCATTTCAGTGGATGACGTCACCTTGTTGCTTTCAATCTGCTAGATTTGGGAACATTAACCAGGATATTTTCGAAATCGTGGTCTCTCAGAAAGTGAGGTCACGAAATTTTCTCGTTCGCGAATCCGATATCTTGTTCTCCCGTGCTCATTCTCCGTCTCTGTCGCTCTTTCTGTGCATCAACTCTCTGACTCCTTGCGTCTTCTCAGGAATCATTCGCAGGCATGCCTGATGTGCAGCTGATGCGCTGTGCGGATTTCTTTGCACGAGCCTTCAGCGCGGTGCTTCCATCACAGCTCAACATCCCCAAGATCATCCGAGATTCCAGCTTGGCCAAAGCGCTTGATGTGAGTCGATCTTGAGAGTTCTTAAATGTTGCAGTCACTTTTGGGAATTCTCAAATTTGAAAATTCTCACAAGCTCATCCGAGATCCCAGCTTGGCCAAAGCGCTTGACGTGAGTCGCTCCACCCGATCCCTCTGTTTCACACGCAAATCCGACTACGCGGACCCGATCAATGCCTGTTTCGTTCTTGCATGAAGTCGAGTAAGGGCGCGTTAAAATGGCTCCATCATCTATCTCTGCACAATTTGTTAACTGCAGTTACCTTGGAATGACATTCCCGAGGAGGTTCGCACAACCGCCTCTGGATGGCTCGCGGAGCGGCCTGCTGACGCGCTGGCGAAGTTTCTGGTTACCCTAGTGCGATCCGCGCTGGAGGATGTGCTTCCAGTCGGCAAGGTGGCCAAGGGAACCGCCGCACAGCCGCTGACGCCGCCCAAGGCCAAGGTGCGAAACGTGAAACATGCTCTTACATGTTCCCCGATTCTTAGAGACATAGTCAGATGGTACCTTTTCCGCAGCTTTATTGGCCATCAGTGGGAAACACGAATAGAGTTATGGCTGGTTAGTCATCCGGAAGAAGCGAACGGGACCACATAAGAACGATCAGAAAGTGAAAAAAATGCTGATCAAGAAGATCGGCTCCCGTAATAACAAAAGGAAGAAGCCACGATTAACCTCCATGCACTACTGGCTGGATCGCTTGCAGGTGGGCATGCTAGTGCTGCTGGTGCTGCTGTTGAGGCGGCGACCTGACGTGATGCTACAGGCCGCAGACACCATCCGCACGGACCCTGGCTGCCTCGGCCAGGACAGGCTGCCCGTGCTCGCCTGGATGTACGGCCAGGTGCGAGCTTCCTCCTTTCCTGCTTTCCTCCCTTACTCCCATCCGTCCTTCCGTCCTCCCTGCCTGCCTTCCATCGCGCCTCCCTTCCTTGAGTCTCCACATCCTTCTTCAACATCCATCAATGCTTGGTGCTGGTCAGGTGAGATGGAACTTGTCGTTCCAGCTCCGTGACTTATCCGATCTATCATCCCCCCACCTCCCCTCCCAAACCCCCCAACTTCCCTTCCCAACCCCAACCTTCACCGTATGGTCGCCACGTGGATGCCAGGTGGCAGTGGTGGATCTGGTATCGGGCATGGCGCTGCTGGTCAGCAATCTCATGCCCTTCACATCGGGCAAGCAGGGCTCGCCTGTGGGCCGTGACGTCACGCTCACCTACTTCCAAACGTGAGTGTATCTCACATCGGGCAAGCAGGGCTCACTAGTTAGCGATCTATTGCTTTTCTTTGATGGACCGTATCTGCCATATAACATAAGCACCTTCACTAAAACAATCATTCAGATCAGTGCTATCCTGGTCCCTTCTCTGCTGAACAAGGATTCCTTCTTCCATCACCAAAAGGAGATTCTTACATCTTTCTTTCCCCTCTCCTTGCCTTTCCTCTACCCTTCCCCTCCCCCCCCCCCTCCCCCTCCCAGCGTGCGGCTCAAAGAAGGCGCATTTGTTTTTTAGCCTCCTCATAAATCTTCCACACCCCACCATCCCCCTCTCCCCCCATCTCCACTCCCTCTCAGTGTACTGCTGCGGGGCAACGAGCGCAAGGCGAGGGCGGTGCTGCTGAACGGCGCCTTCCGCAAGGGCGAGCGCCTGGTGCCCTACTCCACGCTCGACCAGTTCCTGCGCCTCGCCTACCCCCCCGCCTCTGCTCGCACCAAGGCCACTGACCGCTTCACTGCGCTCTACCCGCTTCTTAAGGATATCACGCTCGCAGGCTCGGGCCGAACCAAGTCCACCAAGGCTGTCGCTACGATGCTGCTTCCGCTGATGTTCCGAGCCGCAGGGGAAGGTACGGATGAAGGTGGGGGTCTGAGAGCATGTGAAGGTATGGATTCACGTGGGGGTATGGTTGCATGGATGCATGTGAAGGTGCAGGTGCATGGGTCTGTGTTTTCAGCTGCTTTGAAACCAGGGTACAATCTGTGAGAACGCTGGACAGGGCGTGCCGTCTCGGCACTTGGTGTGTTCTAATAGCCTTCTGTGCACTTCTTCCATCTGTGCTTTCTCTCATCCACACCCCGTACTGCCTCTTGCCCACCTGTCCTTCTCACTGCCCCTCTCTTCCCTCCCAGAGCCTGAAGCGCTCGCCCAGGAGGCGAGCAGTCTCTTTGTGTGGTGCTTGGCAGAGAACCCCGACTGCTACCTGCAATGGGTGAGAGCTCCCATCTATTTTTGACACGCCTCAGAACTTCTAGTGCTGCTCCAACGGTCTATCCAGGTGGCTCTCAGCTTTCACCTAGACATCTGTACCCTCACCCTCCTCTCCTGTCTGTACCAGTCTCCATGTGTCTGCAACGTGATTGCACATGATGTGTGCCATGGCTTGGGGCGATCCATGTGCAGTCACACACATGACTTGTGTTGTTCCTGACCTGACCATGAGTGACCATGTGTGTTGTGCGCGGCTGTTGCAGGAGCGGCATCATGCGGAGGACCATGCGACCAGCACACTCCTGCTCGCCTACGTGCTGCGCGCATGGCCCACTGTTAAGACGCAGCTCGCGCCCTTTGACCCTCTGCGCAAGTTCCTTGCCTCCATTCGCAAGAAGGTGCGTGCTGTTTGCTGTGCGCTGTGCGTGCTGTTTGCTGTGCACTGTGCGTGCTGTTTGCTGTGCGTGCTGTTTGCTGTGCACTGTGCGTGCTAGCCATTCTCCTGTGCCCCCGTGCCCCCATGCCCTTGTGCTCCCATGCTCACATGTTCATGCTCTCATGCTCCCATGCTCCTATGCTTTCAACCATTCTCTTACGCTCATTTCCTCCACACGCTCTTGCTCCACACACTTGTTTCACACCTCTTCTTCTCCAACCCTCCTCGCCCCATCCTATCTCTTCCCATCGCCTCGCTCGCTCCCTTTGCGCAGCACATTGCGGCACTGGAGGAGTTGGATGAGGGCCAAATAGCGCGGAAAAAGGACATTCAAAACGCCGACGCAGCAGCCAGGAAGCTGCAAGGAAAGGTGGCGTCAGGGGGGAGCTGTGTGGTGGTGTCAGCTGCTCTGGTGGCTGTGGCAGCAGCAGCAGCATACAACTTGCCACCTCAAGGCGAGTTCAACCTGGATATTGATGCCGTGCTTGCACTGTTCAAGGGTAATTAACCCTGGGAATACGTTGCATACTGAGGAGGAGATTCTGTGTGAAGGTTGAGTGCGGCCTACAGCTTGCCACCTCAAGGCGAGTTCAACCTGGATCTCGCTGCCGTGCTTGCGCTGCTCAGGGGTAATTAGTAACCCTGTAGTGCAAAATCCCCTTCCGGAGAGGAGGAAGCAATGTTTTCTCATCAGCCTCGGTTACAGAGAGATGGCTTCAAGTCCTTGGAAAGTGGTATACTAGCCATGTGGTTGTTGAAGGTACAGAAGGAATATTTTTATGCATTGACTCGGTATGCTTTTATCAGACAGACTCGCTATAGAAGAGTTCTGTACGTGTTGATGTAAAAAGGCACATTCGTATGGAAAAGCAGCATCACACAATAAAGACAGTCTTTCTCACAAGCCAATTTAGCTAGCTAGACATGACTGGATATTATTTTAGCGCTTGAGGGAATCTGTGAATCTGTAACAGTGCTGCAGCTCCACACAGAAGAGCGGCGGCGATTACCAATCAGCAATGTAGCGCTATTTAGAGTGACGGTGGCCAGCGGATTTCTTTCCAAATTGCTGGAACTTACAATCAGCATCCAGAATACCCGACGTCTTGTAGTCATGTTCTGTGCCGTCAATAATGACCCTCTCTTTCGCTGGCCCGTTCTTTCCCTGAGATTCGCTGAATCTGGACAGGCGTGAAGCAGAGTCCTGGTATGTCTGCCCTATGATGCCATGCACCTTGCGGGATGCATGCAGGCTGGCAATGCGAATGTTCAGCTGGAGGATAGGAGGGAGAAAGGAGTGGGGGGAGAGGGGTTTTGGCATGATTGGTTCAGAGTGGCGATCAGGCATTATGAAAGAAGGAGGGCATAAGAACAAATTGAAAAAACAGGATAACAGAATACGGATAACAGGCGTTGCAGACAATGTTCTGTTTCCGCACATCTCATGCAGCCATTTGTTGCAGAGCTTACATAATTGGGATGGGTCTTGCGTGAGAGGTCAGGAAGAATGTCAACCGTCAGATCCACCACCCCTCGCACGCGCACCCGCATTCTTGCCTTGCGCCGCTCGACCCTGACCGTATGCCGGAGCAGATCGATGGTCAGGATGTCGTCTGGAAGCGATGCACTGTTCACCTCCAGCTGGCCCTGCACCCCCTCAGGTGACACGTCAGCTGCTGACTGTGCAGAAACAACGATGTTGATGCCTGAGCTGGTTACCACCCCGATTTCATCAATATACTGTAAGAGAAAAAAAAAGCAATGGGAAGACAGGGAAGAGAAAACATCGGGCTGGGGAAACTAGCACACTTTTCCAAACTCTTATCAATAAACTTAACCTTGCACTGCCAGCATGTAAAGAGTATTTGGCAACATATAAAGCATTCACTCACTGTGCTCCCATTTTTTGCGCCAGCGAACAGATGCATGTTGATCTGGACTTTCCGATCGCTCACGAGGCAGTAGCTCGCTCCATCCTGGCCGTGGAATTCAAACTTCTCGCCGTGCCGACCAATCAGGTGCGGGTCACCCTTGGCTGACGTTTCAGCAACATCGGGGATACCGCCACTGCACCCACTGCTGCTGCTGCTGCGATTGCTGTTACTAGGGTTTTGGCCGGCGCTGCTGCTGCAGTTGGAATTTGGAGAGCTTGGAGTGATATTGGTGCCTGAAATTGTGCCATTATTGAGGGATGCCTTGTGATTGTTGCGTTTCGCTTTGCGTCTAACGTGGGAGGCGTGCTGGCGCGGGAGTGTGGTGACTGTATCAGGAGAGCAGGGGGTGGGTTCAGGAGGAGTAGTGGTAACAGGAGGGCAAGTGCAGTTGTGAGTGGTTGGGCTCGGTTGAGAGGTAGAGTAAAAGGGACTAGGAGGAAGCACGGAAGCAGGTTCCATGGGGTCCGAAGCAGGTTCCATGGGGTTGGAAGCGGGTTCAGCACTGGACTGAGCGACAGAGAGGAGTGTCGCCGTGACAGCGGCGACGAGCATGAGGTGTCGCATGAATCGCGTGCTGGCGACCCGCGGACCGATCCCTCGCCTGCCTATGGCGGTGTAGCGCCCCATCCTGCGACTCCTGCGACGCCTTGCAATGCCTGCGATGCTTGAGATGCCTGGGACGTCACCGATGCTTCTAATAGTGCTCCAGAATCCTCAGTTTCGTTAGGAAACACGAGAATTTTAACCTCTGACGGTGGGGAGAACGATGTCAAACCTTCTGACCAGAGAAGCCTGCTAAAACGGCGACGCGGACGGCTTCGATTCGACACTGCTCGACACGCAAATCCCTTTCCACGCCCGCCGTCGCCGTCGTCGCCACCGCCGCCGCCTTGCTCGCGGCGCTGCCTGCGAGCTCAAGCGCGTTTGCCGTCATTCTCGAACCAGCGGAAGGCGGAGCGGGATGGCTCGCGTCCCTCCGACGCGGATGCGGCTACGTCTTCTCGCTTATCGCGAGGTGGCCTTTGAGTTACTTAAGCGTCACCAGCGGAGGGCGGAGGCCGCTCATTCATCGCGTGCGCCCAAGCCGCCATACCGACCCAGCCATGGACGCGAGCCGCGTCACATGGGCGACTTTGAAGCGAGCCACTCCTTATACATGGTAGCGATAGAGACGAAACGACTGGTCTCCTACATGCTTGGGAAAGGGACTCATTAGCGCAGAGTGCGCGTTAGCGCGGCGTCGTGCTTGTGAGGAGGAAGCGCGGAAAGCTCGATAACAGGGTCGTAGGGCCCGCGCAATCACAAGAAGAAAAACGCCCCGCGTGGGCTCCAGTCAGGCTGCCCAGCAAAACAAGTGTTGCAAATCCTCGTTTCAAGTTAGTGCTTCGATCTCATAACGCCACTTCCGAAAAGTCCTCCAGCATTCTGATAAACGATACTCGCCTCTTCGTACCTGAAATTGCTGAAATTGGAAGTGTTGAAGAATTGTCAGCCTGGGCCATATGGGTCTGTCTGCATGCACATCAAGAACAGTAGGGACGTGGTACGTGTAGGCATGGCATGTCTGTCTGGTGTGGCTGACAGGATAGTCCTGCCTGACCTGAGCTTACTTCTCTTGTTGCAGGTGCAGCATTCCGATGTAAGGTGCTTGTTACATACCCCTGGCCATTCCTGTTCTGCACAAAACGTGTGCAATTGCAGTTTCTTGTCGGGCCATCCCCGCTTGTGCCGTATGTGAGGTATCAGCCTGGCTCGTATCCTGTTCGCAGTGGCTGGCTCTGTACGTGCATGCATGATGCATGCAGTGCATGAATGGGTGCCCTGCATTTCCATTTTCTTCCCATCACTGTGCATCTGCCTCTCATGCTAGCTCCACCACCTTCTCTCAGCGCTGAGGGCTTGGCCTGTAGCGGCTAAATCATCAGAACACAGCACAGCACCTGCAGAGGACACTCTGCCCTGCGTGGGTGTGCGTGTCTGTCAAAATGAGGAATGGATGATGCATTGATGTTGGTTGGGGTACATATAGCTAACCCTAAGTTTTGTACCCCCTAAGACAAACCTCACTATAGGCTACAACATTTGACACACCCCCATAGCCTAAGTGAGGGGTGTCTAGCAGAACCAAACGAGTACGGTCACAAGACCAGTCCAAGAAACGAAGCTCAGGGTGGATCACAACGTCACCACACAGTCTGAGCACAAACAACAGTGGCCACAAGGCCAGTCCAAGAAGTAACAGAGGTATATAGAAAGCAAAGTAAACAGTACACTCAAGCCTAAGCAACACGAGAACCAGTGTCAACAAGGCCTAACTGCACACAGCACCTCTGGTGGTCACAAGGCGGAAGCGCCTTGGTGAAGATGTCTGCAGTGTTGGCCTCGGACTCCACAAACTCAAAGCGAGCCTGTCCACGCCTCTGCAACTCTCGCAGAAGAAAGTACCTGACGTGAATGTGCTTCACTCTGCTCTCCAGTCGTGGCTCTCGACAAAGGAGAATAGACGCCTTGTTGTCAGTGAACAAGGTCGGTGCAGAGCTCGGCCGCTCACCAAGGTCGGTGAGCAAGAAGGTCAACCAACGCAGCTCCTGTGCCGCCATGGCACCAGCGTAGATCTCAGCCTCAGCTGTAGAGGTCGAGACCGAAGAGGAGCGCGTGGACCGCCAGGAAACAGCTCCAGAACCCAGGCTGAAACAGTACCCCTGAGTAGACCTGTGAGTCTCAGCGTCGTCAGCGTAAGAGGAGTCACAGTGACCAGTAAGTACGACAGACTGCTGCCCTCCAAGAACTAGCCCCACGCCTGACGTCGTCGCTAGGTACTTCGCCACCCTCACAGCTGCTGTCCAGTGAACAGGACGGTGTCTCCCTGGCGCAACAAAGCGCGCAAGAACGCTGAGAGGGAAGGCGAGGTCCGGGCGAGTACAAGTCATCAGGTACATGAGGCAACCCACAAGCTCTGCGTAGGGACCACTAGGCTCGAACGGCTCGTCAGGAAAGGGTCCAGTGAGTCTGTGGTCAACAGCAAGAGGTGTGCGCTGTACTGTGGAGTGCTGAAGCCCGAACCGCTGAAGGACCTGCTGCACCATGTGCGACTGTGAAAGTGTAATGGTGCGAGCAGCTCTGTCCCTGGTGATCTGCAGGCCAAGGTAGTGGCGCAGCTCACCAAGATCAGTGCAGGTGTGTCTCTTCTGCAGTTCGGACTTCACGTGTGCCAAAGCAACCCTGTCAGGGGTGGCGAAAACAAGGTCGTCAACGTAGACCAGAACAAAGAAAGGTGTGGGGCCACGACGAACGAACAGCGACGGGTCAGCAGAAGACGGCTGGAACCCAAGGTCAGACAGGGTAGAACGCAGGGTGTCGTGCCACTCACGAGGAGCCTGACGAAGACCGTAAACCGGTCGCCTCAGCCTCCACTGGGTCCCAGGAGGGAAAGTGCTAGTGAAGGCAGAGGGACGACGCAACCAGACCTCCTCGTGAAGACTGCCCTGAAGGAAAGCAGTAGAGAAGTCGAGAGAGTGTAACTCGTAGTCTCTCTGTGCTGCTACGTGTAGTAACACCCGAAGAGTGGTCATCTTCGGGGTGGGCGCGAAGGTCTGAAAGAAGTCAACCCCCTCGCGCTGACTGAAACCTCTAGCCACGTAGCGTGCCTTGAAGACCGGAGGAGATCCCGGTGGCCGCTTCACCCTGTAGATCCACATGCCGTCGACTACGTTCGCCCCCGGAGGGGGAACCTCATCGACGTAGGTGCCTGTGGATCTGTAGGAGGCCATCTCAGCGTCCATGACAGCTCTCCACTGAGAGGCCCAAGGCCCTGACACTGCCTCAGCGTAAGTGCGAGGAGTCGGAATGTCAAGGGCGTCGGGGTCACCCTCAGGGGCGAGGAGCATGGCACAGAGATGAGGGGAAGCGGCCGCCAGGAACTCTAGCTCAAACTGCCTGTCCTCTAGGGCGTCACAGCCAAGGGCAGACACACCCCCGACGGCCAGAGGACTGGAAGGAGGAGCAGCCACAAGAGCGGTGGCGAAGTCAAGGCGGCGGGTAGAGGCAAAGTCAGTGACTGCGGCAGTAAGAGCGGACACAGAGGACACAGAGGCACGAGGGTGAGTAACAAGCGAGGCGAGAACACGAGAGAGAAGAGGACGGTACGTGCGGTAGTAGTCAGTGACAGGAGTAGGGAGCGACGCAGTGAGAGCCGACTCAGGAGGAGACGGAAGCACAGACGGAGACGGACGAGGTGGACTAGAACGAAGTAAGGCAGTACGAAGGTCAGTGAAGGGAACAGGAGACGAGGGACGAGCACGAGGGGAGCGACGAGAGGCCCAAGTCTGAGAAGAAGGAGGGGACAACGAAGACTGAGAACGAGGGAAAACAGCGGGAGAGGGGTCAGGAGGAGGAAGCGGAGGACCAGAGACGGGAGGAGAGGGGGAGGAGGAAGGAGAGGGAGAGGGGAGACCAAGGGTCCGAAGACCCGAGACAGGAGGAGGAGACGGCAGCTGCTGCTGCTGCGGCTGCTGCGGCTGCTGCTGCTCCAGCGGCTGCTGCCCCTGCTGCTGTCGCTCCTGCTCCTCGAGCCGCTGCAACTCTCTCTCCTCTCTCTCCAACTCCAGCTGCTCCTCACGAGCACGGCGAACACGAGCCTGGAACCTGGTCGGGTAGGGGTGGGGGGAAGGAGTAGTGTCCGGGGCAGCGGCAGCCCCAGAGTCGACCTCCGAAGCACCAAGCACACCACCCCCAGAGGCAGCACCAACACCAGCTCCAGACCCAGGCTCTCCAGAAACCGAAGGGACACCCTCACCCCCAGACGCAGCACCCCCAGACTCCGCACCAGCACCCCCAGACTCCGCACGACCAGTACCAGCCCCCGGAAGACAAGAGTCCTCTGCAACCCGCGGCTCAGCTCCAACTCCAGCACCCCCAGAACCAGAGACCTGTACAGGGACAGTCGCAGGACCAACCTCCCGAGAGGGAGCACCTGCAGGAGGCGGCGAGGAAGACTGTGGGGAGGGAGGCTGTACAGGGGGGGCTACCGAAGGGGGAGGGCTAGCCTGAGACACACCAGACGGGGCTGGACCAGGGGGGGGAGGCTGTACCGGGGGAGCAGGCGGGGGAGCGGCTGTCAGGAAGAGGGGGGGAGGAGGAACCGGGAGACCTCGACTGGGGTACCTGACGTAGTACGGGGTGGACTCCTCGAAACGGACGTCACGGGAGTCAAAGAACCGGTGAGAGGGAGGGTGGTAAAAGGTGAAGTCAGAGGAGTCCTCAGGGAAACCAAGGAAGACACAAGGAACGGCGCGAGGCGAGAGCTTGTCCGCGGAGGTGTCGCGGACAAGAGCCAAGCACCCCCAGACACGAAACCTCGACGCGACACCAGGGGACCCTGTCCAAAGACTGGTCGGTGAAGCCTCCGGCCGAGAGACGCGTGGCCAGAGGTTCAGCTGGTGCGCGGCGTACCTGACTGCGTATGGCCACAGGAAATGGGGGGCACGGGCGTGAGTCAAGGAGGTGCGGGCAATCTCCATGACCAGGCCTATGCGACGCTCAGCAACCCCATTCTGCTGTGGGGACTCCGGAAGCGTCCAGGACTGACGAATGCCCTGTTCGCGACAGAATCCAGCGAGAATGCCGGA